ATTCCCCCCCCCCCCCCAATCCATTTGGGTGTGTATCTCTCCATTTACAAGACTTTGAGTCACTATCCAAAATAAATAAACTTTGAAAGAGTTATAATAGCAAAAACCTAAATTTCGAAAAAAGAAGCGGTTTTTGAACTTTCGAGTATCCTCTCTTCTCCTCCGTTACAGTCACAAAAACATGTCTTCTAGGTTACTCTTACACTTCTCTCCCTCTCCCATGGCGAACGAAGACGAAAACCTCCCCTCCTCCTCCTCAGACCCTTCTCAACAATCACAAGACCTCATCTCTGAGCCATACATGGTGGGATTCATCATCGCGAACATAGTAGGTTTAAAATACTACTCGGGACGAATCAACGGCCGAGAATTAGTCGGCCTCGTCCGAGAACCCACAAATCTCTACGACGAGAACGCAATCAGAGTCCTCAACACTCGTTCCGTCCAAGTGGGTCACATCGAACGCGCCGTAGCCGCCGTCCTCTCGCCGTTGATTGATTCACATAAGATCCTCGTCGAAGGTATAGTGCCTAACACTCGCTCTGGGGCGAATAAGTTTAAGATTCCGTGTCAAGTTCACATCTTTGCGAAAATTGAGGACACGGGAGCTGTTAAATCGGCGATTTCGAGAGGTGGGTTGGTTTTGATTTCGGATTCTGATGGGTCTTTTGGGTTGTCTGAGGCTGTGGTGGTTAAGGAAAGGATGGGTTTTGATGGGAAGAAGAGTGTTGATAAGATTTTTAAGGTTGTTGATAAGAGTGTTAAGGGGAAGGAGAAGATGGTTGAGGTTGAGCCGCCTAGGGAGGTTATAAAGTCTGAGCTTTTTGCTCATCAGAAGGAAGGTTTGGGTTGGTTGATGAATAGGGAGAAGTCTGGGGAGTTGCCTCCGTTTTGGGATGAGAAAGATGGGGAGTTTGTGAATGTTTTGACGAATTACAGGACGGATAAGCGGCCTGAGGGTTTGCGTGGTGGTGTTTTTGCTGATGATATGGGGTTGGGGAAGACTCTTACTTTGCTTTCGTTGATAGCCTTTGATAGATATGGTAATGCATCGACTAGTACGGGAGGTGAAGAGGGTTTTGATGTTGTTGAGAAGAAGGGTAGGAAGAGAGGGAGAGGGAAGAGTAGTGAGAGTGGAGGAGCGAGGAAGAAGGTTAAGTCTGCTGATGAGGTTAAGACTACTTTGATTGTTTGTCCACCTTCTGTGTTTTCAGCTTGGGTTACTCAGCTGGAAGAGCATACTGTACCGGGAAGTTTGAAGGTGTATATGTATCATGGAGGAGAAAGGACAGACGATGTTAATGAGCTTATGAAGTATGATATAGTGTTGACTACTTACAGCACTTTAGCTGTTGAGGAGCCTTGGGAAGATTCTCCTGTTAAGAAGATGGAGTGGCTGAGAATAATTTTGGATGAGGCACACACTATTAAGAATGCTAATGCTCAGCAGAGCAAGGCGGTTTGTAAGTTGAAGGCTTCTAGGAGATGGGCTGTCACAGGAACTCCTATTCAGAATGGTTCATTTGATTTGTACTCTTTGATGGCGTTTCTCAGGTTCGAGCCATTTTCCATTAAGACTTATTGGCAAAGCTTGATACAGCGTCCGCTTGGTCAAGGGAATAAGAGTGGTCTTTCACGTTTACAGGTAAAGACAATTTTCACATCTGTATATGTTGTATGGTGGAAGTTATTCAATTATTTGCTTTCTCAGGTTTTAATGGGGACAATCTCGTTGCGGAGAACAAAGGAAAAGAGTTTGATTGGTTTGCCACCAAAGACTGTTGGGACTTGTTATGTTGATCTTTCTGCAGAAGAACGTCAGTTATATGATCACATGGAAGGAGAAGCCAAAGGTGTTGTGCAGAACCTTATAAACAATGGAAGCTTGATGCGTAACTACTCCACAGTTTTGAGTATAATCTTACGACTTAGACAGCTTTGTGACGATGTTTCTCTATGCCCTCCGGAGTTAAGATCTTTGACCACTTTAACATCTGTCGAAGGTAAAAAAAAAAAAAAAACAGTTTCATGTTATTACCTTTGGCTGCAAAGGTTAAAAACTTTGTGTGTGTTGTGGAACAGATGTGACTAATAATCCAGAGCTGCTGCAAAAGCTGGTTGCTATATTGCAAGATGGAGAGGATTTTGACTGTCCCATTTGCATTTCTCCACCAAGAGACATCATCATCACTCGATGTGCTCACATTTTTTGCAGGTCCTGCATTCTCCAGACCCTTCAAAGAACTAAACCTTCTTGCCCTCTTTGCCGTGGCTCTTTAACCCAATCCGATCTCTTTAATGCTCCTCCTCCTCCGGAGACTTCAGATAACGATGGAGGAGACACCAAACCTGTAACCAAGTCATCAAAGGTCACTGCTTTACTATCACTTCTCATGGCGTCAAGACAAGAAAACCCAAACACGAAGTCTGTTGTGTTCTCACAGTTCAAGAAGATGCTGCTTCTACTAGAAGCCCCTCTGAAAGCTGCGGGTTTCACCGTCTTACGGTTAGATGGGGCAATGACTGTGAAGAAACGGACCCAAGTCATTGGAGACTTTGGGAAACCGGAGTTAACCGGACCTGTGGTATTGCTTGCAAGCCTCAAAGCCTCTGGTGCTGGCATAAACCTAACTGCAGCTTCGAGAGTTTACCTGTTCGAGCCGTGGTGGAACCCTGCAGTTGAAGAACAGGCCATGGACAGGATTCATAGGATTGGGCAGAAACAGGAGGTTAAAATGATTAGAATGATTGCGAGAAACAGTATTGAAGAGAGGGTCCTTGAGCTTCAGCAGATGAAGAAGAATCTTGCTAACGAAGCTTTTAAAAGAAGACGTGGGAAAGATCAAAGAGAGGTTAACATGGAAGACGTGATTGCTCTCATGTCTCTCTGAACTCTTAATATAATGCCTTAGCTTTTTCCCGTTTCACCTAGAGTTTTACCGTTTTTTTGTCCTGTTCCGTTTAACAGACATTAGCTGCAGCATATCGCGAACGGATGTTTCATTCTCGGTTAGTTTCAATTATGTACTGCTCCTGCCTTAGGGGATTATTGCAAAAGACACCTAATCCAACTGCCACCAATATTACTATTATTAACTGTTGTTACAAGTTAACATAGTAGGGTTAGTTGAATGAACCTGTGATTAAAAATGATTTGTGTACATACTCAAGTAAAATTGATTTGAGTAACCAGAGGTCATTAACTCAACTGAAAGTCAATTTCCTGGTATTCAAAAAATAAAATGTTTTGTGTAAAACGTATCTAAATGTTTCAGATCATCACTAACATGATCATCAAATGCAATGTCTCACTTAGACATTTTATGATATAAGTAAACATGGTTAGGAGTAGACAATTCATTTTTTTCATGTTTGGTTAAGTGTTAGTGAGAATTTGACAAAAGGCTATGCCGGAGTACGGCTCAGTTCTGTTCAATTTGATTCAGTTCAGTTTTGTTTGCTTATTCCAGATAATATGATGATTAACTTGTTTAAAATTAAGCGATACTTGAGTTTGTTGCTATCATTGTATTGTGTGCATAATTAGTTAAAATTTAGGTGGGCGTTAGATACTTATTATAAGGAGTTGTCTTCTTGACCTAACATGTTTTACTCTACGTCAACGCACTTCTCGTTTTCGATCTGAAGAAAGTCAACACCGTTAATAAAATAACTTTTAATCTTTAGCAGATATCAAACGGCGTCAGATTTCGAAGGGGGCATTTTCCCTATTTTCATGTTGTAAAAGTCATAAAACAACTAATAGTCAACTTTAGCACAAAAAAAATAACTAAAAGTCAACTATACAAACATTCAAAAACCATCTATCAGTTGGTGTTACCGGCCGGTAATAATTTCGATTGGGTAAGAGATAATATTACCCAATCATATTATAAAAAACTTTTCTTTTTGCCGACTCACAAATAGCTTGTCAATATGCATAAAGCATGGTGGCATTGCCATTGCTGCTGCACCACAAGCTTCAAGCAAACAAACGAATGAGTGGAAGCACACGCGTGAAAAAGTTGTCTTTGATACCATTTGGGACACTGTTACTATCCGCATTTTATGTTTATATAGTATCCACATTATTGTAGTAGTAGTAGTATTTTCCACCCAACCTTAGTGGTTCCATCATTACCTATAAGCGTAGGGTACCAACTTATATATAAGCATCAGGTACCCCTTTGATTTTTTAACAGCATAATGTATACGATATATCACCTCAGCGTAACGTAATCAATAAAGTTCATACAAGTATAATGATATCTAGATCATAACCCGTCCGATTGGGCGGGTCTTTGTTTTTATGATATATATAACATTTCAAAATTACAATTTAATGGTGCCAATTTTACTAAGTAATAGTATATTATTTAAATATTATATTTCATTATTGTATTGTGTAAAAGGGACGTCTTAAAATATTGTGACCCGTAAACATTTTAGTAATATTTTAAAAAGTTTTTTGACTAAATTTGGTGTAAAGTTATATACACTAAATAATTTAATCAAATTTTTAATTTAATTTTTAATGAAGAATTGGAAGGCTAGTATATCACTATTAAAAACTTATAAGAATAGTCAATATAAATTATATAAAAAAATATATATTATTTTTGATTTATTCTAAATACATTTAAAACATGAATACATATATGTATAAATAATTTTTAAAAGTAAAGTAATATCAATGATAGAAAATCCCAAAAAAATAATAATGGTACTTTGGGCCGCAGTAATATTTAGTATAATAAATAAACCCATTAAATTTGTATGATATCCATGTTTCCAATCAAAATTTTAAAATTTTCTTATTCATGTTTCCAAACACTTTATTTTTATATTTTAGCTTTAATAGTATAGATGGTATGTTAATTTTATTTTTAAACTATATAAAGTTACTTCATGGATGTCAATAAAGTGCATACAAGTAGATTGATAAATGGTATGTTCATTTTATTTTTGGACTATATAATGTTACTTCATGGATGTCAATAAAAAAGAAAAAAAAGTTACTACATGAAATATACTATTGAATGCATTGTATTAGGTTTGGTAATAACACCGTCCGTGGTAGATGAATTATTATTATGGTGTTATCTCCTCTTCCAGACAAAACACGCACCAATTATAGTGGGGTCCGCGGAAATCCCGTAAAGCAGCCACTATATCTGCTGACGTGTTGGCTAATCAACGTATGTCGCTTAAGAGGCGAATGTGACAGGGCCGTAAGGCTAACACGTAAGATCAAACAAGTCGCAGGTTTTTCACGCGTTAGAAGGTGAATGAAGGACTCTATCTACCTCTTTGATTATACTAATTGGCTGTGATATCACCGTCCCAAATCTCGTGCAACTCCGTTTTGTCACGTATCGCATAAAATCGAATAATTTATATTTATTATTTAGTTGATTTTGTTGACCAACATAAATAAATGCTCTTTACTGATTTGGTTCTGTGATTGATTATCACCAGATTATATCACATACATTTACCTTAAGTGCAAATATTTTCCATATATGTTTTTTTTACTAACTATCTTCCATAAATGTTATAAAGGAAAAGAGACTTTCATATAGAAACGCATATTTATCAATATAATTTTCGGTTTTATAAGGTAAACAATCGATGTCATAGATCAGTAGATGTTATGTGTTTTAAGTAATTTTGTTTAGTAAATTCGCTAAAATTAATTTTCTGTTATAAATAAATCTTACACACCTTAGAGTACCCCCATAAAAAATTCAGTGAGATTCACACTTTTTCAAAAAAAAAAAATTAAAATAAGAAATAATGATGAATCTGTCTCTTGCAGGTTCTCTGCAGTAAACCTAATTTATCATTGTAGCGCGGATCTCGAGACATATGGCAATCCGCGGTTAGTCAATTTGTTTCTTTTAAAAAAAAAAAATTAATAATAAACAATTGAAGCAATGAACTAAGAGGAAATTCATTGATATGGATGTTCTAATGGCCTTAATTACAACTATGGTTGAAAAAAAGTCGACGAATTGATAAAAACATAACCTTCATCTCTTTATCCTTCTTTTAGCCTTTTCTCCAACAAGAAAAAAAGAGAATGAGCTTTTAGTGGAAATCATTCACATTTTCGAAAATATGATTGAAAATGTAAGAAATTTCTTATATATCTTGCAAACCCTGACAAAAGTTGTTAGTGGATTAGGTATATAAATTTGAATTTATCATATAGACTAATCATTTAAGAACATCAGATCTTGAATTAATTTCCTTAATTTTGATCTTTAACGTTTTTCGATATCAAAATATTTTTAAATAAATATTAAGTATCACACGAAATCATTAGATTTACTGACTAAACTAAACTCTATTCACGTATTTTACTGACTTAATGAATCTGTGTCAGTAGCTTGATGTAATCCTCTAAAAGTCGGAATATAAAAGAATGTTCGTAAAAAGTTTTACCTTTTGACATTTTCAACCGTAACACCACTAAATGGTATGTGGAAAAATGAAGGCACTGCGAATAGTTTGACCCTGTCGACACTAACTCGTGTCGTCGTCCATACAACGCATGTGTAAGAGTACAGATGAAATGAATATTTATTTAATTCTTTTTTTAAAATAAATGAAAAGCCAAATAAGACCGATCAAAAGAAAAGCCGTAAAGAAAAAAAAAATAAAAATCCAACTTATCACCAAACAGATACAAAGACAGTTCCGAGAAGAAGAGTAGTAAACCAAAAACAATAAAAATAAAAATTCTCTAAATTAAAACAAAAAAATGGAGCTTTCTTGTAGAATAGAATTGTACATCTGGTTTTAACGTAGTTATTAAGAGCACTTGGTTTTTTAAAAGATTTAGACAACGTAACCAAAACTGTTTCTTCTTTGTCTGTTTTTGTGACTTGTCTTGGTTTCTGGTTTTCTCCCTCATCTCTTCTCTCTCTCTCTGTTTCTCGGTGCATTTTCTATTTTCCCTTTCCGGGAAAGTTTCATCAGATTCATAAAAAAAGGAAATTTCAAAACTTTCGATCACAACTCCGTTTGATCTTCACCAAAGTCTCAACCTTTCTCTAAAAAATCTCATCTTTAGAGGATCGGAGACAAAAAAAGATCGGATCTTTTTTCTCATCTTAATTAACCTGAAGAAAAAGCTCTTTACTTTTTAACATTAAGATTCTGATTCCTCTGGATCGGATTCGGAGACGATGAAGCCATCAGCTTCGTTAGATAGCTGGAGAGAATATTTCCGGCGAGGAGATTCCGATATCTTCGGGATCATTGATCACGCCATCATGGTTGCTGCTGCTGATTGCCCTAACAAATTCAAATCCAGAAGAGACAAAATCGCCGAGCTTTTGTTCTCTTGCAAAGTGAGTCGTTGCAATGGATGCGACCACTTAGAGCTATCTGTTCCCGGAGGAGGAGACGGTGACGAGGAGGGTAATGATGTTGGAGATACGGCGGTTAATGAAGGTGAGGCTGGTGGGAGTAAAGAGAGTAAAGCTAATAGTAGCAGAGGAGATAACAATCATATAATTGATGAGACGTTGAATCTTGTGAATGGGAGTAATTATAGTTATGATGATGAAGCTGAGGCTTTGAGTGATGCGATTGAAGAGTTTTCTGTTATGTCTAAGGAAGTTTGTAGGATTAAAGAGATCTTGCTTAACAAAGATGACGAGGTTTGTGATCTAAATTGTAATTAGAGTCTCTGTTTATTAATAGAAGCTTGATTGTTTCTTCTTTTGTGTGTGTGCAGGCACACTCGGTGATACTTGAATCCCTGAGGAAGCTGAAGTTGATGTCTTTGAATGTTGATATACTCAAGGTTGGTTTCTGGTTGGTTGCTCTTGAGGTTTGTTTGGAGTGTTGAGTGATTGATGTAAGGTTTTGTCACAGAGTACTGAGATTGGGAAGGCTGTTAATGGCTTGAGGAAACATGGTTCTGAGAAGATTCGCCAACTTGCAAAGACTCTCATCGCGTATGAGTTTTTGATCATTCACTAAGATTGATACTATAATACCACTTTTAGAATATGGCATTGAGTTTCTTTGATGGGGTTATGCAGAGAGTGGAAGGAGATCGTTGATCAATGGGTGAGCACCACCAAGGAAATAGCTGGTAATTTAACTCTCTCTCTGTCTAATTCGATCATTTTACTGTCTTATGGGATTCATGTCTTACAGTGTCTTGGTTTACTTGAAATATAGATCCATAAGTATTTGGTTCTAATTTCTTGTTAAAAAAACAGGTGCTGAAGGTACACCAGAGTCAGCAAACCCATCTGTTGTTGATGAAGAAGATGAAGAAGAAGCGTTTCCATCTCTTCCATATGATGTTGATATCTTTACACCAGAAGCAAACGGTTTTGAAATGTTAAATGGAGACTTCTTTGATTCCTTGGACTTTGATGGAAGTAAGTTTAAAAAAAAAAAGAAAAAACTATTCTCTTGTTTGTTTTTTTGAGTTTGGAATTAATTTTCCTTGGGGGGATGTTTGTTTTGCAGATCTTTGTAACTCTGTGGAATACAACAACACGAGCCGAGAAAACCAAAGAAGACCACAGAATATCGCCAAGAGAAGACCTGAGGGAACACAAACGAGGATACAAGATGCTCCTTTTAGATCTATCAAGCCATCATCACATGCTGATGGGACTAGGAAACCTCTAAAACATAATACAGAACATAGGATGAAAAACGAAATGGTATCTGTTCACAAGTCCGACACACCCATGATCCCAAGGAGGAAACCGCTTGCAAGACCACAACAAGAAGTGAGTGTGACAACAAAACCTTTTGTGTGTTTTTATTTTGTTATAATCTTGGACATGTATAATTGACTGTTTCTTTTGTTGTTGTCCCAAGCAGAAACTTAAAGGTCTTGATGCAGACGCAAAGTTTGAGTTTGCAAAGAGAAAACTTCAAGAGAGCTACCAACATCATGAGAACGGTTTGTTTCTTTTCCTTTCGTTTTATTTCGAGTATTTTCAATACATTCTGATAAACAAAGAACATGTTTGTGATGTTGCCAAACAGCCAAGAAGCAGAGAACAATACAAGTACTTGATACGATCCCAAAGCAAGGTGGTAACACTCAGAAACCGCAACTCAAGAGACCTGGAATGAACAACAGAAACTGGGCAAACGGGCGTAAATAGCTTCCTTCTTTCAGACATTACTACATACACAACATAACACAAATATCATTCTCTGGTGAAAATAAGCAGAGGAGGAAAAGAGCAGATTCACCACAACTCTCAACTTTTCTCTTTCAAACAGACTGTTAACTCCTCTGTTTTGTTACTCTCTGTGTTCTACTACTAGTACTACGTATACTACATTCTTGAGACTTTCGGTACAGTTCCGGTTTGGTTCGAGTCTTGTTCGGTTTAGGTAACATTGACAATAGAGTGAAAGAGAGGTCCCCCCTTAACATTTATCATATAAAAATTGTTAAAGGGAAGGTAGAAAAGCATTTTTCGAATTGACCGGCTCTTCACCTAACTTTGTATAGGGGAACGTGAAATGGTTCGGGACACGGTAGAGAAGATCACATTCTTTCAAATATAATAAAATCTATTTTAATCAATGTGACCAAATGTTTTTTTCTATCATTTATTTATTTATTTAGTTGTGACCTGTTGTTATATATTATTGCTATTTATAAAATTAATCAAGTAATAAATGGGATGATTTTTATAATGCATGGTGGGTGGATAAGAAACGAAGAGGAGATACTAGTGGTGGTGTGAGTTGACGTGGATGGATAGGAATGTTAAACCAACAAACCCTTTGTGCATATTGTAATATATTATTATTATTATTGGTTGGTTTATTTACGCGTTCAGACAATCCACCACATGTACCACGTGGCCTTCCATAACTTCTACTCTTTCCATTTTTATATTAAAAAGAGTTAGATAGAGACTGATCAAGACACTATTAGTTTTCGGTAAAAAGTTATTGCATCATTTTTATGGTAAATCGTATAGATGGATTGGTTGTTTTAACATGTGAAAAAATAGTGAACCGACATAAATTAAGTAACCAACAAGCATTTAACAACAAACAAGATTTAAAAGTCAACAACCACAACAATTATGTATAGAGTGAGTTAAGTAGGCAACACGAAACCGTGTGTTATAAAAAATGTATTATAGCATGTTAGAAAAAAAAAACACATTTCGTGAAGAAGAAGGCGTTTCTTTCGTGTAGAAGTCAAACCCATATTTAACAAGAATATTAGCATCACTTCTGTGGAGAAGATGCGATCTGCGTGTACACTAGTTTTCTTTTCCCCTTACAGCTCAGCTTTGGTTTTGGTCCGCTAAGACTGCAATTTATAAACCCGCTCATAATGGGCCTTAATGGGCTTGGCCTACGTACATTATTCCATTTATACTGTACTGTAATCTTCACTGCTTGTGAGTGATTCACTTGTTCATAAGAGCAACATTATCGGGGTCCGTAAGTTGAGTCCTTTAGCGGAAAATCCCTTAGCTTTTAACTAAAAACGCTAAGGAATTTTCCACTAAGGGACTCAATTTACGGACCACCGATTATATTGCTTTAATGCATCTTCAAATAATGGAATGCAACACTTCAAGGAGCATGAGAAATGTGATCCCAGGTTTTGAAACATGAAGACATACACACACACACCTCTATAAGAATATCAATTACTCTGCACAAAACCTTTTTTTTCTGGTCTGTCAGTAAAACGTTATTTAATGGTCTATGATAGTCCTCAAGTTCCGGAACAGATCATATGTTTCTTTCCAGAGATTTGAGGGAGACAGGTTTGGCATTGACGATGGTTGATGCAAAATCATTGAGTTAACCATAAGAAAAAAAAAACACAATCATGGCACAGGTGAATAATCATCAAAAGCCATAGTACTTATGTGAATGTCACTTCATAATCAATCTTCATGGAGTTATTACAGTCCATAATCACTCATCCATTATTCATTTTAGTTAGACCAACCCAATCTATGAATTTAGAGGAACTTGAAAAGCAACACTCTAAGCACACTCACACAGTGCAATATTACCTTTGATTCACTCTTGTGTACCTAATTCTGTTAAATGCAATTATTTTTTAAAGATTAAAATAGAGATAGACCCCACTGAAATGGTTGGTTTGGTAATTATCTCTCCATACAAAACTCACACTTTACTCTTTTAATCGTTAAAACTTAAAAGTCTTGTAGATGTGTCTTCTTCTTTAACTCAAAACACAATTAACCTACTCTTTTGGATAACTTTTGATTTCAATTAACCTACTCTTTTGGATAACTTTTATATCAATTTTGATTTGGCCAAATATAAGCATCAAAGCATAATCGAGACAAAACATTTGGTTATATTTTCACTTAATTTTTTTTATGAACATTCCTTGAATTATTCGTTGAGATCGATCACAACCCTTTTCTTGAGTTGCATGCAGCATAATGCAAAGAAAAGAAAAAGCAATATATTCTTTAATTTGTATCGTCTTTTTGTCTCTTTAAAGAACAAATTAAAGAGGGAAAAAATGGGATGCTTTTGCTTTTCCCCCTCCTTTGTTTGCGGTGTCTTTGCTTTTATTTTTCTTTTTTACATGTTAAATTTGAATTTAAATCTGCTTTTCCTATAAATATACAAAAAAGCATAAAACCCATTATGTTTACTTAACAATGGATTCAAACCAACTAATCATTGATTCCTTTAGCTTATTTGAGAGCTCACTTTCTCTTTTAACTCTGTCTCTACCACTTGAAAACAAAACTTAACACAAGAAACCCATTACTCTCATGGAGAGTGAGTAAAACCAAAAGAGCTTAACCATGACTTCTTCTCACACCTCCTTAGCCTTCTTCTTCCTCCTCTTGGTTTTGGTTTCAGCTGATTTAGCATCAGACCAACAAGCCCTTCTCAACTTTGCAGCATCAGTCCCACACCCACCAAAACTCAACTGGAACAAGAACCTATCTCTTTGCACCTCATGGATAGGCATCACATGTGATGTCTCCAACCAAACCAACCGTGTTGTATCTGTGCGTCTTCCAGGAGTTGGTCTCTACGGCTCCATCCCTCCAGCTACATTAGGCAAACTAGACTCTCTCAAAGTCCTTAGCCTCAGATCCAACTCTCTCTTTGGATCTTTACCTTCAGATATTCTCTCACTCCCTTCTCTTCAATACCTTTATCTCCAACACAACAACTTCTCCGGCCAACTCACTGATTCTTTGCCCTCTACGCAGCTTCTTGTCTTGGACTTGTCTTATAACTCTTTCTCCGGTAATATCCCTTCCACTCTCCGGAACTTGACGCAGATCACTGTCTTGTACCTTCAAAACAACTCTTTTGATGGTCCTATAGATTCTCTTGACATCCCTAGTGTAAAGGTTGTAAACTTGAGCTATAATAACTTAAGTGGACCCATCCCTGAGAATCTTAAGAACTCTCCGGAAGATTCTTTCGTCGGAAACTCATTACTTTGTGGTCCACCTCTGAAACCATGTTCCGGATTAGCCACCTCTCCTTCAATCTTGCCAAGACCTTTGACAGAGAATCTCCATCCTATACAGAAGAGACAGAGTAAAGCTTACATAATCGCTATCATAGTTGGCTGCTCTTTAGCCGTTCTTCTCCTCGGAGCTCTGTTCCTTGTTTGTCTGATGAAAAGGACGAAGAGAGAGAAGCAAGGCGGTGAAGGAGGGAGACTGCAGATAGGTGGAGTGAACAGCAAGAAACCAGAGTTGGCTTTTGGGAGTGGAGTTCAAGATCCAGAGAAGAACAAACTCTTTTTCTTCGAGAGATGCAACCACAACTTCGACTTAGAGGATCTCTTGAAAGCTTCTGCTGAAGTTTTAGGAAAAGGGAGTTTCGGGACAGCTTACAAGGCTGTTCTTGAGGACACAACCGCTGTTGTTGTGAAACGTTTGAGAGAAGTCGTGGCGAGCAAGAAAGAGTTTGAACAGCAACTAGAAGTAGTTGGTAAGATTAACCAGCATCAGAACTTTGTACCTCTCCTCGCTTATTACTATTCGAAAGACGAGAAGCTTTTGGTTTACAAGTACATGACGAGAGGAAGCTTGTTTGGTATCTTACATGGTGAGTATCGAAAAACCCTAATTTTTGTTTTTTTGTAATGTGAAGCTTGTAGGTTACGTAATTGTTTTTTTTGTGTGTGTGTGTAGGAAACAGAGAAGGAGACAGAGGAGTAGACTGGGAAACGAGGATGAAGATAGCGAGAGGGACTTCAAAAGCAATCTCTTACCTTCACTCATTAAAGTTCGTTCATGGAGACATCAAATCCTCAAACATACTTCTCACTGAAGACCTAGAGCCGTGTCTCTCCGACACGTGTCTAGTCACACTCTTCAACCTCCCTACTTACACACCGAGAACCATCGGTTACAACGCTCCAGAAGTGATTGAGACGAAGAGAGTTAGCCAGAGATCAGATGTTTACAGCTTCGGTGTGGTGGTTCTCGAGATGCTGACAGGGAAGACACCTTTGACTCAGCCTGGTCTCGAGGACGAGCGTGTGGTCATTGACCTTCCGAGATGGGTTCGGTCTGTTGTGAGAGAGGAGTGGACTGCTGAGGTTTTTGACGTTGAGCTGTTGAAGTATCAGAACATTGAAGAAGAAATGGTTCAGATGCTTCAGCTCGCGTTGGCTTGTGTGGCAAGGAACCCGGAGTCGAGGCCAAAGATGGAAGAGGTTTCGAGAATGATTGAAGATGTGAGGAGAAGTGATCAGTCTCAGCAGGTCAGAACATCCTCAGAGGCAAATTCGAATGTCTCTGAATGATTCCAAGCAAAAAAAAGACTCTGTTTCTACAACGTTTCTTTGATCAAATTCCACTTGTGTCTTATTGAATGGTGTTGTTATGAATCTGTTTCTCTTTGGTTCGAAATAATGTCGCTTTGTAACGTCGTTTCATTAAACTTCCGAAGTAACTAGAGTGAAATATTCTACGCATATATGTCTCACCACTACACATGAACAGACAAATACACACTCTATAAAGATATACTAATTATTTCATCCTACTATGTAACCCTTGAAGAATTCATTAAGGATAGACTACCATACTCTGAGAAGAAGAAGAATAAAATATCTTGAAAATTTAGAATTTAGATATGAAGAGAAAATAGTCTAACATTTACCTATACAAGAAGTTATGATGGAAAATATGCGTAGTGACATTAGGAAACTAGACGAGAAATTGATGTTAGATCATAAAATTCTTTAACTAACTCACAGATGCACAATTACCTCTTGGATTCAATGTACAAAATTTAGTCCTAATGCCTCTAATCCAAGACTTAGAAGCATAAATGGATCACTTGATGCTAGTATTAATGTATTGTTTCAGTATTTTTACTTCCCTTCACATCATATAAAACATATTCTGGTACATATGATGGAATATCGAGCAACTTCGGCCAGAAAGAGTATGAAATTAGTTAAGAGTCATGTTGTGTGATCACTTTCATGTCTTCGAGATGCTAGTTTTCAAAACAAATTATTTCAAGATAACACAACACAATGAGCTCATTCTTGTCAAATATATTCAACTGAGTTATTTTTCTGCTAACGTGTATCTCATTTTTATTATATTCCAAAGTTCCGAGAATACATATAAGAATGTTGAAAACAAAACATAAGCCAAACAAAAGTTAAAAATATTAAAATTTAACAAAACAATGGTTATAGTGGAAAACACTAAACCAGCCACATCCAAACTAATTTATTGTTGTCATCGTTTGTAATAATTATTTAAAGTCATAACATCTTATATAAATGCATTTAAACTTATCAAAATCACCTACAACTTACTAAAAATTTAACCATTTCAAATATTTAGTTGAAGACATCTCATTTATTGTGAATTTGTGATATATAAGTTTGATCATTTGGTTAGATGTGCAATAGTTGTTCAAAAACATTATGTCAAAATTTTGTATTTATATGTTTCAAGACAATGTGGGAGAACACGTGAAAGTCTTTCTGGATAACTAAAGGCAATACACTCCAACCTTGGAATAATGTATATCCATTCCAAGGGAATTGTTCACAGGTTTCTAATTGCTAATTATATATATCTTATTGAAGAAGATGAAAAGTTTGTTCAAAGAATTGGTAATTTGGCTTTTGTTGCTTTGCTCGTCAACCTTTAATGTCTTATCTTAGTGAAGGCGAAGAACATATAAATGAGAGAGCACCTGAACATGTGGATGATGGTTCTACTCAGGATACATAAAAGGTTGATATATTTAATATAGGAGATATCATTCATCAGATTTTTCTTGCTCCTAATATTGTGGCTGATATTGATACCATCGCTACAATATTCTTTTCTGAAGCTTCTCACTTAGTCGAGAAAATGAACAAAATAGACTCTCAATTAAGTTAATTCATTAGGTTCTTATTAAACTCAATAAATTAGTAATTAATTCTATTTTTTTGTAGATCCAATAAGAAGTTAGAGTTTGTGGCAATGTTTAAGAAATATCATGAGTAAAATAATTCAACCATTCATGTTGTTAAAAACAACATGTCATATGTATCAACAGAAAATTTAATCCATCATGTATTAACGATAAATTAATTTAGTCAGATTACTTCTTATTTCAACCCTAATCACTATAAGCTCTCGTGATTTAATCTTATTTATATTTCAAGAAACTTATACTGTGACAAATTTTTTTGTTCACATTGTCTTTTTCTTTTCTAATCAACATTGTTTTACTATAAGTACTAAGGAAAATATTATTTAAGAAAAGATAAAAAAGGCCCCTTTCTCAAAAAAAAAAAAAAAAAGATAAAAAGGGTAATGTTGACACGTTGTGGAAATGAAGTGAGCACATATGGTGTCTCCATCTGCTTTTTATTTTTTTCCGTCGGTAGAAAAAAAGAGTGAAGATAAATCATACTCAGCCAACCAAGCAACTACCACAGCAACTCGACAGTCGTTTTTTTACCGTGTCTTTGGAGTGAAAAGCGTTTTAACTTACCTAATAAAACCTATAAAAAAAAATATATTAGTCGTTCCTTTTCTTTATCAATAAAATTAGACAAATGGTAGACTGCCAAGTTTGTTGTATAAGTGTATTGCAAAAAAAAGAGAACATGAGCCATAAATCAAAGGCCCAACGAAATCCAAGTGGGCCTCCTCCAGTATTCGGACCAAAACCATTTGGTTTTAGTTTTCGGTTAGTCTTCGCCCAAATCAAACCGAGTCAATAAATAGGTTAATGGTAGTAGGTCTTTTGCATGCGCAGATGTTTAGCCACTGGGCAGAGTTTGACAGAGACCGTAAGATTGACTAATGGAGAAGATGACAAACATTTGAAATCCCAAAAGAGCGCCACTTTCTCTTCCCTATCCTACAAATCTACCCTCCTCCTTTGTTCCTGAACCTTTACATCTATATCATCGTAACTAGTAACCCTAGCATTCGTCTTCATAAACCATCCTCTGTTTCTCCTACGATCTGAGCGTCTTCTCCTCTCAACCTAATCAATTTAAGGTCAGTTAATCCTATGTTTTACCTTTCTTTGTGAAACTCGCACTAATATACTCTGTTTTGTAGATCTTATGATCTCTGTTAATATACTCTGTTTTCCTGAGATTCGTGGAGGGTTTTTGCATCTGATGATCAAAACTATTCAAAAAGACTTTCTTTTTTCCTGTGGAAATTGGTTGTTTAATGCTTACAAGTAATCAATAACTTCAAAAGTTTGAATCTTGAGGTGAAAGGAAAGAAAGAGAAGCCCTAGTTTTAAGTTCTTGTAGTTTCATGATTAGTGAGCATTTTCTTGTGTCACTTGTTTATATGTTGACGAACATGACAATACTTCAGGATAATTGAGAAAGTTGGTTTCTTTTTAGAGTTTGCTTGATCATTGTTGTAGATGGATGGTCCAACAGAAACTGGAATAGAGATCTCTGATGATTCCAACTCATTCGAAGAAATCTCAGCAGGTATATAAAATCTAAATCTTATTCATTCATTCATGTCTTTGTTTGGTTTGGTTTTTAAATACATAAACTGTCAGTTTCAGACCACAGTGACTCTTCTTCCCCTGTAACTCCAAAGACTGATAGAATACCTGTAGCTATCACCTTTGGCAGTCCCTCTTCAGATGTTTCTCCCAATCACGACTCTGATTCTTCCTTTTCCGAGTTAGACTCCGAAGCTGAGGCCTTTTACTCTTCTCTTAACTACCGCCTGGTCTCACCAGGGACTATGGATGGTCATGAGTTTTCTGATAAACAAATAAGCTATAGAGAATTGATGAAGAAATTTGTTCAATGCGAGGAAGAGTTAAGGACTACAACTCTAAAACTCCAAGATTCTGAACAAGAGGTTGAGAGACTAAAGGGTGAGGCTGAGAAGAGAGAGTCTGCTGTTCTGCTTGGTGAGCTTGAAACTGCAAGGAGAGAGATTGAGATGAAGGATGCAGTTACTCTTGAGATGAAAAGGCAGGTGGTTGATTTGGAATCTCAGCTCTCTGACTCAACTCTCAAATTTGGGAATCTAGTGATTGAGCTTGAGGTGAGTAAGGGATGTTTAGCTGTATCTGATGCTGAGATCTCAAAGCTAGGGGAAATGTTGTGTGATTGTCAGCAAAATTTCTCTACTGAAAAGACAAAGCTGGAGACTGATATTGCTGGTTTGTTAGAGAAGCAGACTTTCTTGGAAGCTCAGGTCAGAGATTTTGATAACCTCAAGCTGAGATATGACATGTTAATGGCAGAGAAAGATGGAGTTTGTGTTGAAGTAGAGAATCTAAAAGCAGAGATGGGAACAAGAGACATCCAAATCAAGCAAATGGAGGAGCAACTTAACCAGATTGTCTATAGGGAGACTGAGCTTGTGTCTGAATCAGAAAATGCTAAGAACATCATGGAAGAGCTGAGGGAAATGGTTAAAGAACTAGAGAAGCAAGCAGAGCTACAGAGAAATGCATTATCAGAAGGAGAGGAAGAGAAACGAGAGGCGATAAGACAGCTTTGTTTCTCTCTGGATCATTACAAAAGCGGATACAGACAGCTTCTGCGGTTTCTTTCGAACAAATAAAAGGCAAGTCATGGTCGTGTGAGTTGGACTTGAATGCTCTCTCATTTGCTCATTCGTTACACTTATGTCATTTGTGTTTCTCTTATGTACAAGACATTCATCAGATTCCTTGGCAATAATTGCAATTTATAATAGATTGAAGCTCGAAAATGCATTTGTATAATGTGTGTGCGTGCATTTATGTGTTCTGAGGTATCTACAAAATGCATTTACATAAGTTCATGTGATAATGACGTAAAGCTTAAGTAATTAAAAGCCTTTAGAAGAAAAAGTCAAAAGGCCAAACATAAACCTAATCCTCCAATATCTCAAATTGGTTGACTCTCTCAATGCTAGAATTGGAGTTAATGTGAAATGGCCATAAAAAGGTTTTTGCATCATTTCAGAAGGACTGAACTTTATGGACATTTGTTACTGATTTATATATTTCAACATAAAATTTATGAAACATTATACCAGTTAAAAGATGAATTGAAGATTAAAAAGAAAAATGGAACTAATAAAGAATATGTCAAAACAAAGTTGAACAAGTCTCGTTTTGAATTTTTTTTGCTTGTTGGTCAAATATTATTTTATTTTATTTATCGTAGTAAGATATTACTATATCAGATTCGTCATGTTCTGCATGACTTTGTTTCTAACTTATAAAATAATAAAAAAAAAGAAAATGTCCAAATTTCAAGTTCGAGAGAGTCCATTGCTTCTCTTCTTTTTCACCTCACCGTGTAACGATGTATGCTTGAGTGCGTAATTATGCATCCGCATGCAAATATATATATATATATATATATATATATATATATATATATATATATATAACTGAATACAATTAGCACATAAATATTAATTTATTATTGTGTATTAAGTTGTAAATGTGTGATTGCATGTGTGAATCGGCTTTGCAAGACTGCTGGCCAGGAACTTTATTAGTTAGATACACCAGATAATCAAGTTTAAAGATAGGTGAAGAAAAGGTTAGCATGGGCCCTTCATATTTCACTTTATCTTCATTTTTGTTCTGCAAACACTTTTATTGGTTTCTTAAATTGACGTGTTGGACACAAATATATTATCAAGACGTGTTTTGAATATAAAATAAATCACTCAAATAATAAATTATCTACATGTCTTAACTTTTAGGTAAGCAATGTATATAAAGTAACATTAACGGTCTCAATTATTGAAGAGTCAATACATATATGTAATTCGAGAAGACTTGATTTGATTTGATTTTTTTGAGAACCATAGGCTATAGAAGACATTGGATTGTCCAGAGAAAACAAATACTGAAGTAACCTTTATAGCCTATAAAAAATAAGAGGATACCACAACAAAGGTTGACTTCGTAGGAATCACAATACCAAAACGATTATCTCTAACAAGTAGGAAACTAGACAGCACAAAGCCTTCAAATTTAAACCTCCAAAGCCTTCAAATAAAAAGTAGGAAACAAGACAGCACCACAACAAAGGTTGACTTCAAGAAGGCGAAGGATTTAAACCTCCAAAGCCTTCAAATAAAAAGTAGGAAACTAGACAGCACCACAACAAAGGTTGACTTCAAGAAGGCGAAGGATTTAAACTTCCAAAGCCTTCAAATTTTCTCGGATTCTCAGGTCCTAGTCTCCATCCTATACACTGGGTCGGATATGAACGTCGGATATAAACGAGATTACAGGAGTCCTGATGGACATTAAAATCCTTGCCTCTCTCTTCTGTCCTTTATCTTTTAATTACATTCCTCGCTCGGAAAATTTTCAGGCTGATACATTAGCTAAATCAGACCTCTCTAGATTATTACAAGTTGTGTAACTATTAAACTCTTTTGGTTAGTAGTAATGCAAGTATTGGTTTGACAAAAAAAAAAAAGACAGCACAAAACGATAAAAGATCGAGTCTGTCGACCACTAGCATTAATTTCCTTATATGTATATATAAACAATCGTTGAAATAACCTACAAGTGATAGCCTAGTGGTAATAGAGTTGTCTCAAAAGATTTAGAGCATAGTGTAAATTCATCTGTCATGAGTTTGATTTTGATGAGAATCAAATTGGTGGTAAAAGATAAAAGATCGGGTCCGTCGAAGGCTAGCATTTATTTCCTTATATGTATATATAAACAATTGTTGAAATAACCTTCAAGTGATAGCCTAGTGAATAAAAATTTAGAGCATAGTGATCTGTTGTGAGTTTGATTTTGATGAGAACAAAGCTGGTGGTACTACTTAATTAGTCTAGATTTAGGTTTCGTCCTATGTAGTTTGCATGGTAGTTTAGTAATAGATGATCTTCGTACCATAACTTTAGTTAGAATGCATTATGAATTCGTGTTTGACAGTATAATATCCAATCCATTTTGTAACTCTGAATTCGTGTTAGACAATATAATATCCACTCTATTTTGTAACATAAAGTGTGTTTTGAAACCGAACTAATCAACCTATATGGCGTATTGAAAAAAAATGTTGAGATAATACACATGCACGTACTGAGTTAATATCCCTTTAAACTTATGTTCATTTATGACTTGTCTTCAATACCATTAAAACATGATAATTTCTTTCAATAAATGATTTATGTTTTCGTAAATTATGAATAAATTTAACTTTTCATTAATGATATTTTAATTTTTTTTATTTGGGCCTAAAAATTAAATACTAATGGGTTAATATAATTGGTTGATTTTATTTCAAATTTTATAAAATATTTTTTGCAAAAATATTTTTTTTTTGTGGATCAGGTGGATCGAATTTTTCAGTAGAAAAAACGATTCAACCCACTACGGAGCGGGTTGGATGTGGTGGGTCGGACTGAGCAATTAAAGTTTTGTAACTAAATGATTTTAAGAATTAATCACAAAACTAAAAAAATGGACCATTTAATTGTTAAATTGACAATCTTTCGTAAGTACACATTTCAGATACAACCATTATTAACTTATTTAGAAGCATAAAAATCCTCTAAGACATTATAAAATAAAAATTTGTTATACCCATATAATAATTTAATCTTGATTCTATAACATTTTATATCATCAAAACAAAAGATTTATCTATCCATCTGTATATAAAACAACAAAAATAGTACCCGCGCGGTTAAAAATTTAGTTCACTGTTTATAACTTTTCACTAGCAGCATTTAAACATATGAAATCAAAAGAAATGAGTAAAAAACTGGAAGTATGTAGGGAAGAGATATAGACTTCTGTTTCCAAAATAAATGAAGCAGGCGCCGACATTACACAACAATATGCCATTCCATTTATTAACTCTTTATCCATTTGTTAGGTGAAGGAAAAAAAAACATTTACTGCCTTCACTATCTCCACTTCTTCTCTCTTTTCTTCAAACCAAGCTCTGTTTCAGATGCTTCATGCTTGCCAGCTTTCTTTATTTTATAAAGAACCAACAAATGGGTTTTGTTTAATGGGTTTGTGAAGGAACGAGTCGTGGGTACTTTTTTTTAACGAGTCTGTTGACTTGGCTATCATAGAAGAATTACACCATTCATTTCATAGAAGAAGAAAAAAAAAAGACTTTCTTGACACGGAAAGGGAGAGAGACTTTTCTCAAAACATAACATTCGAAGTTCAAAACCTCTCCAAGGATTTGGCTTCTTTTGTCTCTCTCTCTCTCTCTTCTTTCTACCTCGCCCCCACGACAAGAAACTCTCTTTCTCTATATATATCTCTCCTCACCATTTCTATTCTCTCTCTCTGTCTAAACAATCTTAACCTTCTGTTTTTTTTTCTTCTTCATAATCTCTTGGTTACAAAAGAGCTTTTGTCTGAATGATCTTTACCACTCTTTATGGATTCTTGAATGACAGTAGTCTCTTCTTCCTCTTGTCTCCATTTTATTATTCATCTCAACCCGGATCCGTAACCAGCTCTCAGACCCGGGTTTATTGTTTCTCTTTCTCCTCTCCTCAACTAAGTTTTTTAAAATCTTACCGCGTTGACCTTCATCTTCTGGTCTCCTCTCAAGAAGTCTCTGTTTCCATCTTTTTTTACTTTTTGTCATCAAGTTGAGATTCAGAAAGTTGGAGTACGTCATCAAACTTGGCACCAAACAATGGCGAGCAAGTCTGGTCCGAAAGTTCGGTTGGTTAAATGCCCCAAGTGCTTAAAGATTCTTCAGGAAGACGAAGATGTTCCTGTTTATCAGTGTGGTGGTTGTTTAACTATTCTTCAAGGTCACAAAAACTCTGCAACTTTATTTTCCTTGATCATTGATGAATCTAGCTTTATTCTTGGGTTCTATCTGTTTGAATAGACCAGTTGTCTGTAAATGGTTTCCTTCTTCATCATGGTCTCTCTTAGTTATTGAACTTGTTTTGTTGTTGCTTCTTTGATTCAGCTAAGAGACGGACCATTGCTCCAAACACTACACCAAGTGCAGGAGAGGCAGAGGGGGCTCAAGCCAGTGAACCAAGAAGTGAGCCTGTAACCAACAATGTGTCCACCAGCTCAGAGCAGGACACGGTTGTTCCTTCACCCACTGATCGTTCAACGGATCAAGTTGATAAGAAGGCTAAGGATGGATCCATGGTCTCTACTGAGCAGCAGCTTGGTGAATCTATTGAAGAGGAGAGGAATGCAATACAACTCCAGGATCACTCACTTGGTGATTCAGACAAGAACGAAGGAGAAGACAACTCCAGAAGTAGATTGAAGTCTGATATAAAACCCGTGGCAGAAGCTATTGGACAGGGGACTAGCTCAGGTAGCTTGAATGCTGATCATGTGGTTATGGATGCAAAAACGAGTAATTCATCCAGTGATGCTTACCGCAAGCTCGAAGCTGAAATCTCTGCTGATGCTTCTTCTCCGGTTGAAGATGAGCAAAACGAAGATGACTACTTTTTCAACCGTCACAGGGAGTCAACAGATGATCTTCCTGCTGGAAACAAGACTTGTTCTACCTATGATGAGAGTGAGTCTTCCTCTGACGAAAGAGAAGACGAATTTCTCAGTGAAAACGAACAATGGAAAGCTCTTCAGGAGATGAGTTCAGGCAAGATTCAAATGCAGAGATACCCTGAAAGTTTCAAGGAGCAAAGTAGAGGTAGTTCCTCATCCACTACTTTCTCTGAGAAGAGGCCCAACAATGTGAGTACCACCACATACATGGAACGGTATCAGAACAGGTCTATGCAACTTGAGGGGCCTGGAGGACGTCTTCGAGGACAAGGGAGGAGACATGTGACAGAACAACTTCGACCTAGCATACCTGTCTATCCGAGAGCGAGAGAACCATACACACATGTAAGCCCTTCATATCCATCCCAAGATGAGTTTGATTGCTATTCCCGTGCACACTCACTTCAAATGCCTCCATACGCTAGAGACATGAACTATCACAACAACACAAGGGCAAGAGGTCGAGGACAAGGGAGTAGGTTCTCAGGAGAGATGACAAAGGATAGAAGAAACCATCCTGGTTGGTATTCAGGTCAGCTTCATAGTTCTTACAGTTCATACCCTGAAAGTCCACAGAGGCCAATGGAATATCCGAGATGGAGCCACGAGATAGTCTCTGATGCGGAGGATCATCAGCGTAATAGACATGCCGGCCACCACCACCATGACTTACAGGCACGTCGTTTAAAAGAGAGACAACGTGTGGCCAAGCGTCATATCCGTCCAACAGCCGGTGGGGCCCCTTTTGTTAGCTGTTACAGTTGCTCACAAAACCTACAGCTTCCTGTGGACTTTCTCATCTTCAAGAAGAAGTATCATCTTATTAGATGCGGGAGATGCACCACTGTTCTTAGATTCTCTCTTCAATCCAGAACTCATTTAGTTCCTGCAGTAAAACGTGACATAAAAGCTAACAGGAGTAGCAATTCAGCACTAGAGTCTCTCAGAGTCAAAGCTCCTTCCAAACAACCAGAAAAGCCTAGCTCCTCTGCTCAAGAAGAAGAGATACCTGTAGCTAGAGGCTCTCCCCTTCATCGGCTAATGGGATATTCTACTGTAAGCCAAGTCTTTAAAGCCTCCCAGCGTCCTCCTTCTCTGTAGATCTCTGCTTCTGATCAAGCAACGAGAACTATGTGTTTGTCAGATGGAAAGTTTTGCCATTGGTTTATCATTCTTTTTCTCACATCTTTGTATAGCTAAAAGATTTGTTTATCCACTTCTGTTTAAAGTAGAGAAAACCATGACACTTGTGCAAATTATACACAAAAGATATTGCTTATCTATTGTAGATAACCATGTTAGTATTTGTTATGTTTGTAACAATATTGAGTTCATCATCGTTGATGGCTTTATCAATCTACTATAACTTTACCACTTGGACATAAGAATGAAGTATATCTGTATGAACTTAGTTGAAGCTGTCCGTATATCGATTCTTCCTCCTGTTGGACACGACAGAGATTCGTTGATCCTGCAGCATGTTCATGTTTGGGGCTAATAGTCTTGTGTACCGATCGAAATACAGAAGCTGCTTCATGAGAAGTGCAAACTCCCTCGGGAACTTTAGCCCATATGATTCGCTAACCCGCACCTACACAAAAGAAAGAAAACTTGTTTCCATCTAGATGCAATCCTAAAACAACTACGTCTAGTTAGTGCTTACCAGGTCAAGGAAAAGAGCATTCATCTGTCTCTCATCGACAACCACGTTAGCAGCAACAGCAGTTCTGCTTGAATTTGTTCCACGAGCTGTAGCCACTACTATCTCTGTATCTAGTTCCTGCAAGAGAAGAGATGAACTTATCTCCAAAGATTGGTGGCACTTGCCATAGTTTTTTTTCTTTTTTTTGCACTACAGTGGTTCCTCTAAACAGATGTAACTAGCTAAAGAGGGATCATCTTTAATTTAGCCTTTTTACTCCAAAACTGCTAAAGAGTAAATATGCTTGCCTGGATAGAAGAGAACATCTTTTCCAAGTCCCTTGCAAAAGCTTTGGCATCAACATCTATATTTGTTGCACCCATTTGAATCAAAGCTGATGCCATGGATTCATATTCTTCAGTTGCAATTGACGCTAAAAATACTTCCATGGCAGCCCATGTTTTGGGTGATATCCGACCAACAATGCCTGAAAATATATGTGAATACTTGAATACACGAAAAATCACCAATAAATAGGGAAGAATGTTAATGAAAAAAAACATAGTGTGAACTGTTGCACCAACTAGGCTCAGAGAGGGTGTGATTTACCAAAATCAAGAAACCCAATCCGGCCATCACGCAACAGCCACAAGTTCCCTGCATGTACATCAGCATGGAAACTTTCACAAGAAATTAAACTTCCAAACCTGCATGTTACACCCACATGAAGATCATTTCACTAACTGCTACTTTTAAGAGGAAGAGCTATCTTATTTTCAATTGTGAATTTCAAAGATCTTACCACACATTAAGGGCCGTAATAAGGCTGTTTTCTGGACTGGAAACAAGTGCACTTATAGAATCTAGATCAGTGAGAGGAACTCCGTATAGCCTCTCCATTGTAAGTACACGCCGGCTGCTGCAGTGCTTATACACTCTTGGAGCAGTAGCTTGTCCTGACAACCCCATGGTTTCAAGATATCTCTTAAACGATTCAATATTTTTAGCCTCCTTGTTGAAATCTACTTCTTCAAGCATTGACTCACGAATGTCCTTGACAATACCAACCTACCAAGAGAGTAAATCAGTAGCAACTCTACAGAGGAGCTAATTGAGAGTTTACCAGTGAAGTACGGCTGAACTCAGGACTAAGGAACTCAAATATACGGGCAACAACGTAGATAAAGTTCAAGTCCGCAACTAAAAAATCTTCTATTCCAGGCTTCAAGACCTTGATCACTACATCCTCTTGGGAGCCTCGAAGCCTTGCACCATGGACCTGGTCATGATGATTCCCTTAAGCAAGAGATGAGTAAATAAACAAAATTGAATACCGATCAATGAAGCGGAAGTAGAAAAACACACTTGTGCTATTGAGGCTGATGCAAGTGGTGCAGGGTCAACATACTCGTACACGCTTTCGATGGGCCTCCCAAGTTCCTCCTGCAAGATTTTACGAATTTCCTCAAACGGTACTGGAGGAGCTTTGTCGAAACAGTTCTGAAACTCTTCGACATATTCCGGTGGGAACAAAGTTGGCGCAGATGCCATAAACTACGAATTCAAAGACATAAAAAGATTCTTAAAATGGAAAATAAATTGAGAAATAATAATTTAGACTTGCACTTCACATTTTTCTAAAGATTTACATGACATCATCATAGGATACAATAAATTACCTGGCCCAGCTTAATATAAGTAGCTCCCATGCGTTCAAAGAGTTTCCTCAAATACAGAGGAGAGAGTAGACCAAGCTGCATTTCAGTTGGTAATGCACCAGACACTCTTGTAGACTGCAGCGTGTCACCACAAGTAACATAACATCAGATCACATGAAATCTATGCAATTGAAACATACTTGAGTTCCAAGAAAGAAAGAAAAAACAGTTACTTTAGAGAGATCATTAAGCCACTCTCCTCCAACTCCTAAAAAGGCCTGAACACCTTGGACAAGGCGTAAAGCACCACGTGGACCAGTGTTTATCGATGTCTGAACAATATCCTCCACTAGTTTAGGTAAGTTCTCTATCCGGCCTACAATCAAAACCACACATGGATCAACAGAAACACCCTAAAGAGCGAAAAGAAGTAAAATTTGAATACTTTGAAGGCGAGAAGTGAAAAGGTCTTGGCTTTGTGAATACTGCGCGAAGATAACAAAACCCTTCAAGTTTCTGCCTCCCATCATCTTCTTAGACCTTGCTGCTCTCGCAACAGGAAACTGCGAAATGAAAAGTAATTGAGATTTCATTCAGCAGAGAGTAATGGCGTATTTCGAGAACTAAGCTCTACCTGAGATTGGTGAAGAAGTGGAAATTGCGTGACACGGGAAGCTGAGACTGCCATCGCCATAGCTAGCCGGAGATCGAGGAAGTAAGCCAACTCCGATCAAAGCTTTCAAGTGATCGAAACGAGAACGTTTTCCGACAGCTAGTGGAAGAGGAGGAGAGTGAAGAGTAATATTCCACGTGGAGACGTCTAATAAGAAGTACAGTACTTTCCGGTTCGATTCCATTCCGGTTTACTTTAATTAAGAACCGTTGAGTTACCGCATTTATATAAATAAATCGAGAAATTACAAAGCCATTAAAAGTTAAAACTAGCCCTGTGACTTTTGTCCGAACCGAATGGACCGACCCGAACCGAACCGAAATTTTCGGTTCTCAGTTCGATTTTAGTTTGATTTTGGTTTTGATTAAGTTTTGTAAAATTTTAAAAAATAATTCGGTTTTCAATTCAGTTTTCAATTTTTTTTTAAAAAAAATCTAAAAATAGTCGAAAATATTCAAAATAACCAAACTCAATCGAAATAATCGAATTTAACCAAAAGTATCTGATTTTTAAAAAAATTAGACAGAATTAACCGACAACCAAAAATTTCGGCTATTTTCAAAAATAATTTTGAAAACCAAAATTCATTAAAACCAAATCAAATCGATCCAAAATTTAATTCGGTTAATTTTAGAATAGGTTTGAAAAATTTCGGTTAACCGAAAACCGACGATTCAGTTTGGTTTCGGAAAACCAAAGTCAGTTAAAACCCTTAAACATCTCTCCGTCGCAGTCGTTGCTACCGGTGAGTCTTTCCTACGGTTTACTTTGCTTTCTTCTTGTTTGAGAAATTGGGTTCTTTGTTTCATAATCGTTCAGAAGTTAAACGATAACGAGTTATGAATATATGAAAGTTTAAGCTTGCATGCTTTCGTATTTTGATTTTCTTTACAGTGTTAAGTATTTTGATTTCTTCAAAGTTAATAACTTTTCGTTTTGGTATGACATGTTCATGTAGAGAAGGAAAGATTTAGTGAGCAATGGCCATTGTTGACAAAAGGAAGCTTCAAGAAGAAGAAGAAGCATCAGCTGTTGCTCGTTTCTATAAGATTATTTTGGGTTGGGACTATAAACAGCTTTCAAAAGAGAATGAAGTAAATAAGCAACTCTCCCTTTCCTTGTGGTTTCTTATATGTATCTAATTGGAACCTGTTCTATGTAATAATAATACAGAGAAAAAACAAGAAGGATTCTGAAGGGAAGTTGAGTGTTGTAAAGAATACTTATAAAGATGTTGATGATTATTTTGAGACCTTTGAGCCTTTGCTCTTTGAGGAAGTCAAAGCTCAAATCTTGCAGAATCAAGATAGTGAAGAAGGTTTCATACTTTCTTGATTCTTCTTCCTGCTGTTACTTTTGTCCATCCATTGTTTAGTGAGTTTTGACTTTTCTGTCGTTTTTTTTCTCTCTTAGCATGGGTGTGTAAAATGAGATTGGTAATGGAGTGCAGCGAGGCTGATGGGTTTCACATTCTTCTAGTCACTTACGAACACGAGGAGGATGAGTATCTTGCACCAAATGATCTTTTATTGCTATCTAAAGAAGAGGTACTATTTACTACTCTCATGCTTATTATTTATGCTTCAGTTTTATCTTTGATATAATCCTTCTTGTATAAAAGCCATTGTAAAGATTGTGATTAACTTTTTTCAGGTTAAAGGGAGTTCATTTCCTTCATCTTATGCGTTCGCTGTTGTGGAAAACCGTCAAAGTAATCATCTTCGTCTTCGGATGTATTTAGCTGAAGAGGTAGTTCAGATAACCAAAAATACGAAATACTCTAGAACAAAGCCATTTCTACAATCTCTCTCAGATATGCGTTCTCTTATTACATCCTCTGCAAGCCTTTTAGACAAAAGGGTGTTCAGTTTAAAGGTCAGTATTAGTCACCAACATTGTCTAGTTAATAACGTGAACTGAATAATACGTCTCAATTATGTTTTGCATTATAGAAATCTAGTTCTTTTTATACAGCGTCTTTCATGGTATTGATTTATTTATTTTGCAGTTATGTGGTTTATCAACCATTATTCGGGAATATATAGCACTACGATCAATCAGTTCGCTTCCTTTCAAGGATTTAATCTTCACTGCAGCAGAGAAGTCTTGTGGTTTTGGAGATGACGCCTGGAAAATATCTGGACCTCTTCATGAATTCTTTAGCGAGAATCTTAATAAATCTCAAAAGGAGGCAATTGATGTAAGTTCTGACCTTGTAATTTATTTTCCTTAAGAGACTTTTACAGTTCCCCTAAACACAGTTTTTGTTCTTTGTCTTAAATGTTTTTTTTCAGGTTGGTCTATCAAGAAGATCCTTTGTCTTGATACAGGTTGACTTCTTCATTCATCCTGTTACTTTAAGTTAGAGTTGTTAGCACTCGATGTCTTTCTCTTTGGCTCTCAAGATTGCTTTTAAAAGGAATATAGATGAGTAGAAGTCAACAGGGGATATAACAGATTTGCATTTCAAATTTCATTGATAAGCAGATGAATTGAACTAGTATACAGAGTCTGATTCGAATACTAATGACTACATCCTTCTTTAGGGTCCTCCAGGAACTGGGAAAACTCAGACAATTCTTAGCATTCTTGGTGCCATTATGCATGCCACTCCAGCACGAGTTCAATCCAAGTACGATTTGTTTACGTGCTATCCTTCTTCTGATACTCGCACAACTTTTTGTAGTTCTGATGTAGGTTCCGTATATTATAACTATGCTTCTCATTTTGGTGGATATTACCTTTTTCTTTTCATAACAGCGAGCATGAACTAAAGCGTCGTCGAGTTCAGATGACCACTGAGGAGAAGTATCGTTTTCCTCTCATTTAAGATCTCTGAAACATTCATCCCTCTTGGTGAACTTATCTCAGTAATCCTATTGTCTGCAGTTACAATCATTGGGTAGGAGCTTCTCCTTGGGTTTTGAGTGTCAACCCACGAGATGCTGTCATGCCTGAAGATGGTGATGATGGGTTTTTTCCGACCTCAGGAAATGATATGGTGAGTGGGAAGACACATTTGTAATAAACCGTGCTTAATATTGTTCTCTGTTGTGTTCAGAAACCGGAAGTGGTTAATACAAGCCGGAAGTATAGGATTCGTGTACTTGTCTGCGCTCCATCAAACTCTGCACTTGATGAGATTGTATTGCGTCTTCTGACTACTGGTATGAGTTTTGTGACTCAGACATTGTTTCATTATTTTGAAAGTTGGTGTCGGTCTTATGTGTTATGGTTTCAGGTCTTCGTGACGAAAACGCACAGACATACACACCCAAAGCTGTACGAATTGGTCTCAACGCACATCACTCCGTCATGTCAGTATCGCTGGATCACCTCGTATGTATCTATTAGCTTTTGCACTTTGATTGCCTTTCTTCTGAGTTAGATTCTGTTCGACCATTTTCCTGAGAAATACTCGTTTGCAGGTGGCACGAAAGCGTGGCTCAGGAACTGATGTAGATAGCATCCGGACTTCTATTTTGGACGAGGCTACAATTGTATGGAGAATTAACCTTCCTTGTATTCATGTAACTTAAAGATTATATTCACTTCTGTTAATTTGCATTGTCAGGTGTTTGCTACTCTTAGCTTCAGTGGGTCACCACTTCTCGCTAAATCAAACCGTGGTTTTGACGTCGTTATCATAGATGAAGCTGCACAAGCTGTAAGTAAGCCCCTACTTGAATGTCTCGCGAACTATAAAAATGCTTATTGTCGAAACTTGAGCTTCATGAAACTTTTATCATGGGTCATGGCGGTTCCTTAGAGTTGCTTCATGTGTTTTCCCTTACTTATGTTGAGGGTATTTCAAAAGTATTTGTTGTTTGCTACGGAAGTGAATCAGATAGAGAGAAAAATGTCAATGCTTATATCTCTTCAGAGTTTCATTCCTTATGAAATGTACTCTTGTGTACCTTGTGCAGGTTGAGCCGGCAACTCTCATCCCCTTGGCTACGAGGTGCAAACAAGTATTTCTGGTAACAGTCCATAACATTCCCCTTCACGTTTCAAACTTTCAGTATTTTTCTCTCTCGTAGTTATGAATTGCGCCATCAGTAGCTTTAGAGAGTATAAGTATCCCCACCTTTCTTAAAACTGAAAAATATATAATTGTATCTTGAAGCTGTACATGTGACAGGGTAGTGCAAGCACCATTAGTTTTTATGTTTTGATGATTTGTTTTATAACCATTGAAATTACATATATCAGGTTGGTGATCCAAAACAACTCCCAGCTACTGTAATTTCAACTGTTGCTCAGGATTCTGGGTAAGTACTTTTAAACCATTTCATTACATCCAAACTTTATCTGTTTATATAATAATCTTTATGTCTTTCCTTTTGATCAATGAAGCTGCGGTACAAGCATGTTTGAGAGACTTCAAAAGGCTGGTTATCCAGTGAACATGTTGAAAACCCAATACCGAATGCATCCAGAGGTATCTAGCATCCCCTTTAAGATAAATTTTCACTGAACACTCTCAGTTGATATCTGTTCTGGTCTGAAAAAAATTAGATAAGAAGCTTTCCGTCAAAGGAATTCTATGAAGAGGCACTAGAAGATGGAGCTGACATTGAAGCTCAGACCACTCGTGACTGGCATACATACCGTTTGTTATTCTCATCTACCATAGACTTGTTACTATGTACCCAGAGCTCAAGTCAAGTTCTCAGCTAGCTATTATATCGCCTTATAACTACCAAGTAAAAACTCTCAAAGATCGGTTCAAGGAGATGTTTGGTGCAGAAGCAGACAGAATGGTTGATATCAACACTGTCGATGGGTTCCAGGTTATATGATTATTCTTTTAACTGAATCTAAAACCATTCTCAAACGAGATTGTTTCATTTGTCTTTTTTTGTTAAAGGGAAGGGAGAAGGATGTTGCAATATTTTCATGTGTTAGAGCTAACGATAGAGGTGAAATTGGGTTTCTATCTAATTCTAGGCGGATGAACGTGGGGATTACACGAGCTAAGTCTTCTGTTTTGGTAAGACGAACATAAAAGTTCATAGAATATGTTTTTTTTTATCTCTCACTGATACATTTACCATTGCAATCAGGTTGTTGGTTCAGCTGCAACATTAAAGAGTGATCCACTCTGGAAAAAACTTGTAGAAAGTGCTGAGAAGAGAAACAGATTGTTCAAGGTTTTCTTTCCTTTTTTGTAAGTAGGAACAAACAATCTTTGTGTATCTGTTTATTCAATATTTGTTTTGTTTTGTTTTGTTAGGTATCGAAGCCAATGAATGATTTCTTCAGCGAGGAGAATATGGAGAAGATGAAAGTGACGGAGAAAGATATGGAGATTCCTGATGCACTAGGTTTTGAAGATGAAGCTCCTCCACTTGCAACAAATTACGGTGGAAATGATGATAACAACTTTGGAGATGGTGGTGGTTATGAAGAAGATGCAGCCTTAGCTGAAGATGACTAAACCCTTTAGTGATTTGATCAAATTAGGTTTTGTGTTAATCAGTCTAATCTATCACCATATTTGATCCATCCATTACTAGAAGTTAACGGTCTTAACAGGTTTTGAAATAAAAATTGCAGATCAGAGTCTAATTGAGTAATAACTCTAGCTTGATCCGGTTTATTTCGGTTTAATCTGTTCATTTTCAGGTCCAGAAGATGATCTTGAGGTGCGAGTTAAATAATTGAGATATTATTACACAGGCGTGTCTGAGTTTTGAACAGATAAAAAAAGACTTGGATAATGCTAAAAAGAGGGTCAAAGGAGGTCGGCAAAAGAATCTTGACACACGTGCCATAAGAACAAGCATGGAGAATCTCGAAAACTCTATTACTAATCGCCACTCCCACACGTGTAGCGACTGACGTGTGTTATTGCGTCACGTTTGTACCCTATATAAACCACCAAGACACCAAACCTCAAGCATTCAAACTCAAAGCAACAACAGAATAAAGAAAAACAATGGAAACTATGTCTCAACCTTGCATGAAGATCATCACAACAAGCCTATCACCGAGAACTCATCAAATCCTAGCTCCGGTTAAGGCAATATCACAAACCAAACCGAGCCTTAACACCATGAAGGAAAGGCGCTTTGCTGCTGCTAAGTGTGTATCTTCAGGCTCGGGTTATGCAGCTGCAGTGGAGCCAATAACACCGGAGGAAGAGGAAGAGCTGACTCAAAGAAAAAGTATATGTGGCGGAGAAGCAAACAGAGGAATGTGGGAGCTTCTGGAATGCCTTGAGAAGGAAGCTATCATGGGGGATGATGATGGGAGAGACCCTAAAGATTACAGCAGGAGAGCAAAGATCTTTGACAAGAGTTCTAAAATCTTCAAGAACATCAAAGAAGAGAGAGATTATTCTCCAGAGTAAAAAGAAAATTTCTTGTTTAATTTGTGTTAATGTCAGTAATATTGGATTCCTTATACTTTCCAGTTTTTCATAAGTTTTGTAAGGATCCTCTCATTGTAACACGAACTTAATAATGAAATAATAGTTCATAAAAAAAACTTAATAATGAACATTTTTCTTCTGAAAAAAAAAATCTTCTGGATAATCAATCAGTAAAGCTTATTGGAAAAATTATTTCTTGCGGTTCAGACAGTAAACAGATCGATCGGCAACTGGTTTGAACCGTAAAAACCCACAAATTTATTAGAACCAATCTGTCTCTAAGCCCACTTAATTGCAGATTTAAATGGGCCTAGCCTGTGGGTTAAGGCCCAAATTGACATCAATACAATAAATAATTTTCAGACCGGGAATACATACGTTGACTTCCATCTATACATCCGTACCAAAAAATCAAAACCGCCCAAGAAGCTCCGCACGCTTTATTATTTTGTCCGCTAATGGACCCCACATCACTCTCGGTTAAAACGTCACCGTTCTCAATTAACGACGCCGTTTCGCTTCCCCACTTCTTCTTTCTCCTCTTTAGTCATTTCACTTGATCTCTCTGTTTCTCTTCTAAGAAAGATTCCTTCTTTTAATATCAACGGAACCAAAAATCGTAAAACTGATCCTTTTCTTAACTTCTTTCCTTATTTTGAGGTTTTTTGATTTTAGGGTTTTCAGATCATTTCGATTCCATGTCCGGAAAAGGTCTATCTCCGGCGTCGTTCACCGCGCCGCCGATGACCGTCCAAGACGCCGACCCGTTACGTTTCCGGGTCGGCGAACAGGATCCTAAAACCCGTGAATTCGCCGCCTTTATCGGCGACCAACACCGGTACTTCGCGGCGGCGGCAGCCGCCGCTGCTGCTGCGGCGAATCCTCAACCTCATCTCGAGTTTCATCAGAATTTCTACTCGGAGAAACCAATAAGCGGAAACCCTAACGACAGTGGCGGATCAGACGAGGAAGAAGAAGAAGAAGAGGAAGAAGAGGAGGAGGATGATGACGTGGACGGAAACGAAGGTGGTGATGGTGGTATGAACAAGGACGGTGGTGATGATAGAGTTTCGGCAGGAGGAGCTGGTGGTGGTAATAGAAAACCCTAAAGTTTGTTTATTTATTTATTTTAGTTTGGAAAGTTTTTACCTTTGAGAGATATTGAGGTAGTGAGGTTTTTGTAGGGATAACGGTTGAGCAAGAAAACGCAGCTTATTACTCGCAGCAGTTTAAGACAATGGAAGCGAGTTTTGTTTCTAGGCATGAGGAATCATCATCATTAGTTGCTGTAGAGAATGGGTGTGATGTTAGCGGCAGAAGAGACGCTTCTTCTTCTTCGATGAGCAATTCAATTGAGTCTTTGAGGACTATCTTGTCTGATCCTATAACGTATGTTCTTTTGAAGTCAAAAGTAAATTAGTTTGTGAATGTAGTAATCTTTAGACAAAGAGCTTTTAGTGGTGCCTCACTAATATATAGGCAACTTTTTTTTTTGTTGGATTGGTATGGATTGTGCTTTTGTTTAATCTGTTAGCTTTTATTTTGTCTATTTGCAGAGGGGCTTTGATGTCTGATGCTATGATTTTGCCTTGCGGACACACTTTTGGAGCTGGAGGAATCGAACAAGTTAAACAAATGGTACGGAGTTGTATGTCTTCATCACAATCTCTTGTTTTACTCTCTGCTATTCTACTTTTTGTCTCTTTTCTTGTGGCTTATTGAATCTGTTCTTTGGTTGTGTTCTTTTAGAAAGCTTGCTGCTCTTGTTCGCAGCCAGTCTCAGAAGACTCGATAACCCCAAATCTCAGTGAGTATATTATTCATATTCATGGTTGTGTCATTTGGGTGTCTCAGAGAATTCATTTTATTTTCACTGGAATTTACGCAGCTCTACGAGTTGCAGTACAAGCATTCTGCCGAGAAGAGAAGTCACAGTCAAACCATTCATCTAAGCGAAAACGAGAAGGATTTGATCAAGTAACTCACTACTACTTACTAATCATATTCACCTGTCTCACGTTTAATTATGTTTTCAACTAGAGATTTATATTTCCTTAAATGCAGGAGAGACGTGCATTTGGTGACACGACTTATACAAATCGTTCAAGGAACAGAACTAATCATTTCCCTTTTGCTGTGTCGGATCGAGTTATAATAAAGGTCAATCCATTTTTTCTTCCTGCATTTTTCTTTAGCAAATTTATTTCTTTAACCGTTGGAGTCGAACATGAAGCAGGGAAACAAGAGGACACCACCTCGTTTTGTAGGACGGGAAGCTGTTGTGACTACTCAATGCTTGAACGGCTGGTAAAGTCTCTCGTTTGATATACATTTCAATTGTTCATCTCTTTGCTGCAAACTTTCTTCTATACTGATCAGACATCATCCTTTAGCAAAAACTTGTATGGACTTTTATAAATGTTATAACTTGGGTGTCATTTGTTGCAGGTATGTGGTGAAAACACTAGACAATGCAGAGAGTGTTAAGCTTCAGTATCGTTCATTGGCCAAAGCCACAGAAGATCCATCAGCCAAGGCAACACCAAGCAAAATGGTCTCCAACTGGCTCTAAACAGTCCTTCCTTGCTTACCGCTTGAAGAGACTACTTTCTGATAATAGGTTCTCTATGTAAGGACCAAAAACCTATCTACAGATCATAGATCACAGTTACATATTGTAAATTATTGTAGTAGTTGCTCTATGTCAGATGTTTGAAGAAATTAGGCCAAGGGAGATAGCTTGGAACATATCCGGATCATGATATAATACATAGTTATTTTACTCAGTATTGTTTTGTTATCCAAACAACAGATGTTTTAAACTTTCATGTGTTAACTAAATTATATAACAAAATTGAAAAGAATGAACCTGTAAAATAAGACAAGAAACATATCCAGATCATGATTCAATACCTTTATTCAACACAAGGCATGTTAACTTTCAAGTCTTACAAGTTCAGCATACTATGATTCTTATTGTAGGAAAAAATTGCAGAGAAAATAAATCTATAGAAGAGGAAAAGAAAAGGCTGATGAGCAATGCTACTAGTGTTGCAGATGCACATACAATGAAAAACCCTGCTATGACAGCTTACACACTAAAGTAACTGAGAAAAAGTTGGTCAGAAAACTAAAGGAGTTCAGGTACAGGTTATGTTCTCCTCTGATCCAAGAAAATCGCAGGTCGAGTATATGGAGGCTGCAGCTGCTCTTACGGCTAAATCCTTATCTGAGATCAGTGCATCCCCAGCTCTGCAACACAGTTCAATAGTGCACGAAACTAAAAATCTGAATTGAGGAACAAGTAGTTTAACAGTTTAATGAGATATGAACAAGTAGTGAAATAGCCATACCTAGAGTACAATGGCATTCCTAACTGTAAGAAGTTCTGACCAGAGCTCAAGCTCAAGTGTTGCAGACCCTGGTCGCAATGTGATTGGAGCTCTCTCACTTTGTGTAACCAGTTTTCCTGAAATTTCAAGTTCACAAACTCAAAATCAGATACTAACATAAAAAGAGGAAAGACGTGTGGTTAAGCTAATATCTCAACTTCTTTACCAATTGCCTCTCTTCTTCTGATAGCGTTTGCTCGAGTTGTTTAAACAGCGCCATCCATCTGTTCTTGTGGTTATCAACCGTTGAAGCCCTCGAAGCTCCATTGAAGAGTAAATTTGGATCATTTTCGTGATCAGCTGGGAACTCTTTACTTATTAAGAAAGGTAACTCTGTCGTCACAACTGCTCGAACCCTCTTCTTGCTACGGCGAAGAGCTGAAAAGAACAGAAAAGACATTTTTCAAGAACAACCATGTTTTATATTTTTAGTTGCATCAATGATGATCTTTAATGAGTTCTTACCGGAAACACGGCATTTGATGTCCTGGTGAAGCAATTCTAACCACTGAGACGCGACTGTAGCCGCTGCAAATCAAAGATATATCTAAGCCACCTATGATAGATAAAACCATCCCCATTGACTGATAAATTCGAGAACATACCTTTGACAGTGAGAACACTATCACGGTTCAAACTTGCTGCGTCCTCGCTCGACAAGGAACTGGCATTTTCCGAGAACTTGCTATTTTCTTCATCATCTGCGCAGTTCTCCTCGTGGTGGTGCATAGAGTAGTTATCTTCTGGCATGCCACACATGAATCCTTGGCTAAAATCAGATCTAGAGACATCATCCAAGTTCTTCCTAGAACCCGCAACTGTAGTATTGTTAAGCCTCACTGAATGGTGATAGTTTCCAGAATATTTATCAGACTTGACAATGTTTTGGATGATGGAAAGCACTTGCTTCTTGTTTCTAACGTGGTTTATAATCCCAGGGTTCAGTTCATTGAGCAGTCCACTAGGAGCAGCTAGCCTAGCAAACCTGTCAACTTCTTCCTTCCTAGCAATCTCCATCTTCCTCTTCTTTACCATCACAGCATCATTATTCTTGCTTTTTCGACCACGTTTCCTTGGAGGAGCAGGTATCCCTCCATGAGAAGATGAGAGTACACAGCTGCTTGATGTCCCTGAAACACCTCCACCGTGTGGGTTAGAAAGAAACCCGTTTTGTTTCATCGCTTTCCACAGCTCCATTGGATCCTTTTCATCAACAGTGACACTGGAACTCCCACACTCTGAATAAACATCCACTGAACCAGGTTTATCGCCTCTCTTGGAACAGCTAACCGAAGATAAATCATCATTCAAGCAGCTGGAAGCTACATTTCTCTTAACCAAATCTCCCGTTTTGAGATCAACCTTATCAGAACAAGGCTTGACCTCTTGACTCAACACCTCACTACTCACTCCTTTAACAAAACTCTGAGAAACTTTACTACCTTGAGACATTTCATTGGCCTTTTCAATGTCTTTAGGAGCATGACCAGTGTTACCTGTAACATAAATGGATGCTCAATGACTTTTAATATTCAAAAGTTAACAGGTGACAATTCAAAGTGTACACCTTTCCCAAAACTTAAAACTCAATTAGAAACCATATTATAAAGGAAATGTATATGGAATCATTGAATGTAACAGTAAATTACCTGAATTTATAATTGTTTCAACACATCCAATTTGACTCAACTTCTGTTTCTCATCCAATTCATTCTCTCCGATCTAAAACCCCAAAACATAAAACAATTTAATTAATTGTATCGAAACATTATAAAGACAAAAGTCTCAGCAGACAAAAGAAGATCGACCCAAGAAAAAAAAAAAAGAGTAAAGATGTTACCTTTAAGTCGGATCTGGGAATAGACGAAAACCCACCAGAAACACCGTTGTGTTGTTCACCCATGGAAGAGTGAATTAGGGGTTTAGGGTTTTAAGATCTGATGGGTTAATGAGTGGAGATCCGAACGTGAATTTTGAAACCCTACGGAGAGGAGAGAGAGGAGGAAGAAGAAGAGCGCGCGATGTGTGTGTAGTTTAATAATCTCACTGACAAGAACACAAGAAAATGTATTTGTTTTTTTTTGTTTTGTTTTGTTTTGGGTCTTAAGGTATTCAAATTCAAAACCAGTTAGGCTCTTTCGTTATTTGGAGGGAATCTTGGTTTGGGCCTTTTAAATTGAATCTTTTGTATTTTTGGGAATAGTGTGATTAAAGAATCTGGTAGTTTTAAATTAATCAGATTTGGAATTTAATTACTAGCTACATGTGTCAAAATAATTATTTGAAATTTAGCAAAGAATCAGTTTTTTTCTTTTTGAACACAGAATCAGTTATGTCTATCTGTTGCAGATACCAACATATTAAAAGTTATTCACTAAATCAAGGGACTTAATATATACTACCAATGATATAATCCATCTTATTAGCAACGTATTTGTGATTAATTAACCCATACGTATTTGCATAGTATACATTATACAGTTACACAGTATTGTAAAAATATTTTGCATCATACACTTATTATGTTTATATTACCGAACCGAATATCCAAATGCACATGCATATAAACCGAATATTCGAATGCCCACGCCTAGTATACACAGTGTTGTAAAAATATTTCGCATCATACACTTATTATGTTTATATTATCTTATTAGTCATACACTTATTACATATACAAGCTTTTGTCTTGTTAATAAAAAAATCACCTAAAGTCAAACAAAAATTATTGTGTTACCTTTTCTTGTTTTTGTGTTGTATGGCCACTTACCAGCTTTGGATTGCTGTGAATGATTCCACATGAACTTAAACACTTTTGTTATTACAACATGTACATACGAATGATATCATTGTACCATAAAACATAACGACACAGTCGATTATGTTTCAAAATCATATTTATTCACATGATGAAACAAAAGAGGCTTCATTGTTAATTTCCAACGAGCCAACAATTCCTAAACTGAGACTCAGCCGTCTCCCTAAAACTCGACACCTTAGCTAAGCAGAAATGTGTACACCGCATGCTAAGACCCGACCCTGACCCGACCCGTGTAGTCTTCAGCAAATAACAAACCGGCCCACACTCCACTCCTTTCCCCTGAACCACCAACCCCCATGCACGCGTCCCATCGTCACCTTCAAAGCCACAACCGCAGCTCTCCTCCTCCGCCGCTCCTAACTGCTCCACGAATATTATCCCCTCCGGCATCTCCGCCTCTCCTCTCTCCCATCTCCCCTTCACCGCCGCCCACTCCTCCGCCTTCATCACCACCACCGTCCCCTTCTCCTCATATAGATGGACTAACAAAGGCGCTTCACTTAGATTCTTCACTATCTCCGTCACAGATTCCTTCATCCACCTGTCCAGCTTCTCACGCGTCACCTCTCTATGATCTCCCCCTCCTCTCTGTTTCTTTATCTCCGATACCGACTCCGCCACAGACGCAGATATCGTTTTAACGTTGATACGACGACTTCCGGCATAATTGATCGGAAACGACCATGAAAGTGATCTTGCATTGTTATCGGATGACTCCAATATGCCTCGGTGCACTAGATAAGTACCACCGTAACCTATTTTTGCATAGGCCATATCTTTCTTCGGTGATGAGATAAGATTTCACGTCCAATAAAAATTTATCTTAAATCTCAAAACCTAAAACTACAACTAGTTAGATTCGAATTATTAAAACAAAATATTCTGAAAAGAAAAAAGAAGACAGATTAACGACGAGTTTTTCAAGGAAGGAAAGAAAAATCCAGCGGTGGGATGAATCGTAACGTAAGAATGTAACTTAAATAACACCAAGGTTCATTGTCATGCTGACATAATTAAACGAGCTATAATCTGCTGTGGTCATGACCAGGTGCACTGTGATTAAGTATTTGTTTTAGTGGTTGTTAATCATTGCATGGGAGAATTATAGAGAAGAAAATCATAGTTGCACGGTAGGGAAGCCCGTAGTGAATTGTTTCTCGTTGAACGATGTCAATGATTACAGACCTTTTAACGAAATAACTGCGTTTGACAGATGTGCTGCAGGAGAATTTTGTTTGACCTAAGCCGTAGGATTGTAGTATCACGACCTAGAGAGACTGAATCGAACGGTTGCCACGAGACGTAAAAGTCTATAGGCACGTGGGAATGTGATTTGGGTGCGTGGCGGTCTCGGAGTAACACGCGACAGTCGTCTGATTAATTACGTGGATATCGTGCTTCACACATGGTTGCCATGTCAGCTAAATATCTCCACGTTGGAGTCAACTATGTTTTTATTTATGTTCAAGCCATCTGAGCTTTGGATAAACAAACAATACATTAGCCAATGACTGTGTAAAATAACTATTCTATTAATTAGTAAGATGATCTATTGATATATGTTCAGTCCAACATAAACAATAATCTATTTATATATTAAAAAATTACCTTCTTTATACATTTTTTACATTTTTCTAACCATTTTTAGTTTCAAAATAATTGGGATCACTTCTCTTTATATAAAATTTCTCTATATAAAAACTGTCAACTGTTTGGTGGAAAATTTTATTAAGTGGATTGTGATGCAGTTTACTGCCCTTTATAACAACAGTCAAATTTCAGTTCTATTTAACATCTAAACATATAATAATTTCTGAAATAAACTTCCATTTTTGCAAAAGATTTATATGTTCTGCAATTAATTTTATTCGTTTCCTTTAAATATATATATTTTTTTCAAAGGGTTTTTTAACTTCCTCACTAAATATCACCTGCACAAAAATGCAAATATCATCAAATCACTTGTGTATGATGCAACTATATAGCACACAATAGATTACAGATAGGAGTAGAGTTTTTGGTTTTGAGACCATAACATTAAGTGGTAAAAAAAAAATCATTAAGTGGTAAAAGAGAGAGAATGTTTTAAGATATTTTTCAGCTTTCAACTTTGTAGAAAGAGGCACCAAAAGTCAAATGAGTTTTTTTATTGGAAGGTGATTAAAAATTGGGCCTTAGACCTCAATTTTTTATATAAAATCTAATAATTTGTAGCATTTGGTTTGATTACTATGGGCCTTTTAAAATGCTATTGTTTTAAAAAATACATTTTGATTGAGATTGAGTGCCTAATAAACCTTTAGTTAGATAAGATTAAACTACATTTTATACAGAAATTGAAATTATATTGAAGCTATAATTGAAACTATAATTTGTTATTGAAACTGAACTATATTTTGTTGATTAAAAAAAACTAGATTTTATACAGAAATTGAAACTATAATTTGTTATTTTGACAAAAAAATAATATCACTGTTTAGTAATATAGTGTGAGCAATGATAATAGATTAGAATAGGCAATATTAAAAAAATTGTTATGAGAGTTAGGAATAAAGTTAAAAGTGTAAAATGATTATGGCACAAATGTATAGTTATGCAACTTCAGAAATTCAATATAGTTAGCAAAAATTATAATAACTATAATCTATTCTATTAAATTATGAATATGAATTATTAATATATGTTTAGTTCAATAACTTTTAATTTAATTTACTGGACCACATAATATTCTCTTTATTTTACTGCACATAACAATTCATCATATTTTTTTTAATTAAGTGGATATCTCTATAAAAAACAGTTGGATTTATATTAATTTTTTTTAAAAAAAAACAAAAATATATCTACTTTTTGAAAAGACAAGTTAAAATCTAGTATGATTTTAAACTTTAGACATTCTTTTGTCTAGCTGCGGAAATTGTGAATTTTACCAGTTTATGGGATCGGAAGAAATGTAAAAAATAAAAATTGGCATTTTTTTGTAAGAAACTTATTCAACATGTTTTTCTAAGAAATGTAAGAAACTTTAGACATTCTTTTGTAAAAAAAACTCATATTTTTAATATAACTCAATTGATGACCAAAAAAAGTTATTCAACATGCCTATTTTTGAGGCATTAAGCAAAGCAAAGGAAAAAAACAAAACGTTAATTTCTGAATTTTAAATAATTTAATACATTTGTTCATTATTCAACATGCCATTAAATATTTTTGTGGTATTACAATTTTCGCGTAGTTAATTTTAGTCAAATCTATAACCACCAATCCACTTTTATTTGAAAAAAAAAACCTCGTAGAGAAAAGGAGAAAAAACAAGATATGCTAAAAACATTGAATATAGAGTGGAGAGAAATGGGATAAAAGTACAAAAATACAAAACGAAAAATGCCAACAGAAGAACACGATAGGGACTCGAGCAAAAACCAATACCACAATTCTTGCTACATTTTTGTACTAAAATGTTCACTTTCTCAATTAGGTTGAGTAAACGTGTGGAGCCAGACGAGGTTTTCCAACCGCGTGCAAAGGCTTCGCCATAAAAAGGTCACTCTTGCTTTCCGAAACGTCAATTTTATCTTCACCAGGCACTAATGACCACGAGAACCCTTGAATCAACCTAGCCAGCAGCATGTACGTCATGGCTGAGCCAATATTCGAACCCATGCACCCTCTTCTCCCCGCACTAAACGATATTATATTGAGATCAGGATCATTCAGCTCCACGCTTTTGTTATTACCCAAATGTCTTTCAGGATCAAACCTAAGCGGCTTATCCCACACGTTAGGGTTTCTCCCGATCCCTAAGCGACTTATCAGCACATGACTTCCCTTGGGAATGAAGTAACCGTCAACCACTGTATCGGCCGTTGACATGTGTGGGAGGTTGAACGGTGCCACTGGATGTAACCGGAACGTCTCTTTTACACAAGCTTTTAAGTAGATGAGGTTTGGGAGGTCGGATTCAATTACAAAACGTTCTTTACCAACTACTCTATCGATCTCCTCAACGGCTTTTTGCATGATGCTTGGCTCGTTAATCATCTCCGCCATAGCCCACTCTGCCGCATTTGATGGATTATCCACCGTCGCCAACATTAATTCCTTCACAATCCAACCAAGTAATTAGCCAACAAATTTAGAAATCACCAACTTAATATTTAAGAAAAAAAACAAGTAAAAAGATTGCCAATGCCAAATAAAAAATATTTAGAGCCTTCTTATATATACTCCACTAATATTGGAGACAAATGATACTTCACGTTTGTATCAAAATTATTATCATGTAAAAGGAAAAAGAGCCGGAATGTTCTATTTTTTTTTTAAATGAAAACCTCAACTATGTAGTATATAACTATATATGATTAAACCAACGTCGAATTGGTCTAGTGGTAAAGAGATTACGATTGTAACTTCCGCACTTGAGTTCAACTCGCAATAGAATTGACTATTTAAAATGTTTGGATTTTCGACAAATAGGTGAAACCATCTTTTTGACAAAAAAAAATAAAATAAAACTATATATGATTAGGTTTATAAATAAGCATACCGTCACTTGTGCTTTGATCTCTTCATCCGACAAAGCAGGCTTCCCGTTGGTGTCTTTAGCCAATATAAGCATGTCAAGAAAATCTTGAGGCTCGTTCATGTTCCCATCACGCCATTGCTCGAGTCTTTTATCCACAAAAGGATCGTTGTACTTACTGACATTCCTCATTGCACCACTCACGACCTTCTCATGGCCTTCCAAGTCCAAGAACCTTAGCCACGGGACATAATCCGACAATGCAAACGCGTAAAGATGCGTTACAACCTTAAACAAAGAATCAACATGTTCAATCTCCTCGAACCCCGGACCATATCCATCTTCACTTCCTTTACCAAAATGCCTTACACCAAACAACATCTTCCGAGCTACATTGCCGCTGTATTGCCGCACCACGTGCCTAATATCAATACCTTCCGAACCATTACAAAGGTTATTGATGTAACGGACAAGGTTATCAGCCTCTTCGGTTCTCTGCTCGAGCATGGATCTGAAGCTCTTTTGATTCGTCACGTGAGATGCCACCACTCTCCTCATTTTCTTCCACTGCTCGCCTTGTGGCTGCACAGCAATGGTTAAGTACCCGCGGCTGCTGTACTCGGTGCCCATAGTTAGCGGTCTAGTGGCGAAAATAGAGTCTTGCTTCTTCAGAATCTCACGTGCAATACGAGGAGATGTCACGGGAATCACGTGAGTATTGGCGAGAGGGATACATGCAATATCACTGTTGAGTTCTTCCATTAGGGAATGTATCCAACGAAACACCGGTTTGTTCCTCCGTAGTATCTCCGGTATGTTTCCAATTAGAGGCCAGGGTTTTGGTCCGGGAGGGAGAGGGAGATTTCTTAACATGGTTTTCTTCGGATCTTTACGCTTCATCGTGAATACAAGGATGAGAAAACCTAGAATAAACGCAAGCAATAAAGTGGAGTCGAGCATTGTTGTTCTCAGCTTATTATCTGTTTGAGTTTGAATGGAATAGTTTTTATTTATTTGTGGCGTGAGGTGAAGGCTATATATAGGCACTACTGCACTAGCTTTTGGTGTAAGTTAAATGTGCTTTAAATGTTGGAATTAACTAAAACTTCCATCGTAATGAAACTTCGTATGTCAGGTATACTAAATCTTCTATATTATTCTATAAATGGAAATTAAATATTTCATTAATTTTGATTCTAAAAAACCATAAAATTAGTCCATTGTGGTCAGAGGCGTCCTTACTATGTAATAAAAGAGGTTTTTGCCTCATACCCCAAAATATGTAGAATCTTTTAGCTCCCAATTCTTGATAAATCTGGTGTAGCATAGTAGTATTAGCTAACATATTACTAGGTGATTTTCCCGTGCTCATGCACGGACATGTATATTTATAAAATAAATATATAATAATAATTGATTGATATTTATTTTATTTTAAATTAATTTATAGTTTGTATGTCTAATTTATATTATAATATTATATTACTTTAACTATATAAATAATTTTAGACATGTTATATTTAGTCTGTTTTATTGTTTTTACGGTCGATTTAGTTATCATTTAGATATATTGGATTCTATCTATTTCTCTGAATTCAACTATAATCTTTTATATTTTAAATATATTAAATTTTTGATTAATTGTCTTATTTGCATTTATGCTGGTTGTTATTTTAGAAATATAATTATATTTAGTAAGATTATATATAACTTAAGATTTTTTTGTGCTTAGAAGGAAAAATAATAAAAACTAAAGTGTGTGATTCTAAATTACATACATAAGTAACTAATGAATATTTAGAAGCTTTTGAACTCATATCAATATTTACAATAATTAAAATATTTTATAAATTCTAAAATAAATTTATGCTTTAGATAGATTGGATGGTAAACTGAAATTTATTTAAATAATTTTTAAAATAAGGATTCTGATTTGCTTAAGTATTTTGACTATGGTTATATTAAGTTTCACAAACATAAAAACAGAAAATTAATAATCAAAATAATTATTAAAAAAACATATAATTTTAACTATTAAAATATAATATATCTACCTCGTTAAATTACATAGTGTTATGGTATTTTGAAATAATTGTAGTTATTTTCTGTTTTTATGTTTGTGAAACTTAATATAACCATAATCAATATACTTAAGTAAATCAGAATCTTTATTCTTAAAACAGATAATTTTAACTATTAAAATATAATATATCTACCTCGTTAAATTATATAGGGTTATGATATTTTAAAATAATTGTAGTTACTTGATCAAAAGATGTTTATTATTAAATTTATTTTTAGTTTTATTTTTAGCATCTCTTAAAATATTCAGTAAAAAGTGATTGTTTTTGAGAAATTATACTATATAAGTAAAATTAAATTTATTTTTTTACTGTAATTGTAAGATATTATAGTCAAACAAATTTACTAAAAAAATAATTTCGATAATACTAATTATAAAAAATATCAATTAAACATATATCAGTTTATTTTAGTTGATTATTTTATGTAATAATCTAATAAAATAGATAGATATATACAAAAATGATTATTTTGAAAATAAATAAATTTTATTGTTTAAAATTAAATTTTTTTAAGAAAAAATATTTCTTTTTCTAATAGTAATATTTTTTTGTGTGAATTTTTTTTATGAAATCACACTATATACATATATTGTTTTTTTTTTATCTAAGAAGATATAGATATAAAGTATTTTATTACTTCAAAGGTATATTTTATGTTATTTAAAATATATTTAAATTAAATATTACTATTTTGTGAACTTTCTTTTTTTTTAATTAAACCATATTATATATACTTATATTTTTGTTTTAAATAGTTTTGTAAATTTTATAAATGTTTCCTTTTTATTTTAAATTGTTATTTGGAAATTTTTAAAAAGGAAATAATATTTAATTGTATTTTAATTCATTAGGGGTATCATAGTAATCAACCAACGTGAAAGTTAACGTGAGCGCGACACCTAAGAAAGTGACTTCTCAAATAATATTATAGAGATTTTATCATCCCAAGTTTGAATATTAAAGTTTTTTTTTTGGTAAAAAAAATTGTTTTGTTTTATTGTTAACTTTCCAAAATAAAAAATGAAAGATTTCTTTCGTGATATCAAAATTTCTAAATAGAAAATGAATAAAAATCTCAACTACTTTATACGTGATCATATAAATTTTTAAGTTTTACATTTTATTTCTCACGCATTATCTCATCATCTTTCTTCTTTGTTCCTTGCTATGCGGTTCTATCATCCAGTTTCTCTATTTATTTAATCATCACTATCTCTTATTATATTAAGGTATATATTTTTTCCTGTAAAAAACTTGTCATCAGTTTGTTTTCGATTTTTTTCTAGTGCTTTTAGTTAGGAATCTAGATTATAAAAATTTGATGAAAGAATATTAAAAAAGAGGGGAGAAATATTATTGTTTAAATATTTTATGTTGTTTTAACAAAAAAAAAAAATTGGTTAAGAGGCTCCATTTTTGTATTTGCCTCAAGCCCCAATAGAGCTTCGCACGGCACTAATTGTGGTCCATATATAACAGTTCAAAAATGGTTTACTGTAAACGTTTTAAGTATTGAAATTCTCGGGCTTCCGGAAGCATGATGACAAACTAAAAATTAGTTTAGGCATAGGAACGAAACTTCTCCCGGTTTGGAACTTTCGGTGACTCGTACATCACTGGTTGGTTGTAAAAGGAACAACAGTCGATGTCTCGTACATTAGGCCTTTTATTCTCGTACATTAGTTGTGCTGGTCACAAAAGGAACAACAGTGTTTCTTATACTAGTCAATGTCTCGTAGTGTGTCAGTCATTCGCCTTACGACTGTATACCATGTGCATACATTTTTTGGCGTGGTTGATTTTCTTATCATCAAGTACTCTTACATCATGTGGGTGTTATGCATCATCAAATCCCTTTCCATTTTTAGGTAGAGTCACGTTTAAAATACTAGGGGATTCAAGAATTGGGCCTATTGAGTTGTAAATAAATGGCCCATTTAGATTGTTATATTTCAACTGTAAGTTATCGGGACTCGCCTTGGTTTGGGTTTGAGTTTTGCAAATCAAATCCATAAGTATAAGATAAGCAAACATAGGCATGCATTTATCGATGAAGAAAGAAACAAATACAACCTTGTGACTAAAAAAAGTAACAAATACAACCTATAATTTATTATTTTTTAAATCCTGTGTTTGTTAGTTAAAAAGTTGTACTAATACATAGAAACTTTTATCTTAACCATTCCACAGAAAATTGATTTCCAAATCACGTTAAAAATGAATCTATAGAAAAACAAATTCGAGACTTCATTTCCACAAAATAAAAATAAGTTTCTTTTTTTTTGCTTAAAATTTTTATATATGTTTTATCCATATTTCTACATATTTTGCATCTTAAAACATCTCTAATAGAGAGTTCTAGATTTGAAGGTCTCGAAATAAATAAATAAACATATATATATATATATATATTTATTTAATTATAAACTAGAGTTTCACCCGAACATCCGTGCGGGTATATTTTTTATTTTATAAATATATAACTAATTTTTTTAATATATGATTTATATTTTAGTTTTAATTATAATCATATCTAATAACGAAATAAAGAAATACTTATTTTATAAAAAAAATATTTAAAATATTTGGTAAGATCTTGTTAGATTTTTTCAATAGATTTTGTTATATTTAAATTTATTTATTATTAATATTCTTATTAGTTATTAAGATATTGTGAAAATCATATATATTTGACTGGTTAATGTAACAATAAAATATGTCGATTTAGTAATTAATAACATGGTCCAATATGACTTCTAGATAGTAGATAAATTTGGTACTTCTCTTTTAATAGAGAAGATATCTCGATTTTACGGAAAATCTATCTCTTCCTCTTTCTAGAATTTCACTGATATTTTGTAATTATTTTTTTATAAAAATCAGAAAACATACAAGAAAAAGAGCAGGGTATTTGTCAGAATCCATGCAGAGATAACTTTCTTTTGACATTAGAACTTCTTCTACCATTGGTCTAATTATTATTGCTGGTCAAATTATTTTTCTAATTAAATTTATATTAAAAATTAATAATTTTAAGATACTCATTATATATTTAAGGTTGCCGTTGCCCTACTTTCTTTTTACCTTTGTTTGTTTACTAGCATTGATTATTTACATCTTCATTGGTAGGTAGAACGAGTGGTTGTAGACTGGCTGGTTAACCTAAATACGTGGCTTCCTGGTGGGTCGCTGAACATTTGTCACAAGCATTTAATAAAAATGTGTATGTTTACAAAACATTACAACTAATAAAAAAGAACGCATCTTCTTTTAGATCACAAGCTTTGAACGTTAGCAAGAATTATGTACCTACCACCAGTCTCTTGCTTACTATATAGATATTCCCATTAAACGTTATAGAAATCATTTCTGTAAGATCATACATACGCAAGCTACCTGTTTATAAACCTCTACACTCTCAACTTAAAAAAGTAAGTTTAGCCTCTTTGCATCTTTTAATTAATTACTCTTTGTTAAAGTCTGTGTATGTGACTATTGATCAAACAGTGGGAACTGAGATGGTAATGGTTCACGATGTTCCTTTTCCTCCACAAATCATTACTTCCAAGCCCCTCTCTCTTCTTGGCCAAGGTTTCTTCCTCTTAACATTTGTTCTTCTATGATCCCATAACAATAATGTAATAAATCGATATTTGTTATTTTTGTAGGAATCACGGACATCGAGATCCATTTTCTTCAAGTGAAGTTCACAGCCATAGGAGTTTACTTAGATCCTTCAGATGCTAAAACATATCTTGAAAAATGGAAAGGCAAGACCGGAAAAGATCTTGCCGGTGATGACGACTTCTTCGACGCCTTGGCCTCCGGTAAACTTAACAAGTCCATCTTACGTTCCTAACCAATGTTGAATTAGACCTCTCAAGTTTTTATATGGTTCCTGGTTTAGATAAATTCTATTTGGTTTAATATTGGTTTTGGCTTTTTTAAACCAATATTGAAAAAAAAACTTGTTTCCATTTCTAGTTATTATGGTTTACTTCGGTTATACACGGATTTACTGAACCGATTCGGGTATTTTGTGTCCGGTTTATATTTTATTGAAGGGGAGATTGAGAAAGTTATACGAGTGGTGGTGATAAAGGAAATAAAAGGAGCTCAGTACGGAGTGCAGCTAGAGAATTCAGTGAGAGATCGTTTGGCTGCTGAGGATAAGTACGAGGAGGAAGAAGAAACAGAGCTCGAGAAAGTTGTAGGTTTTTTTCAGTCTAAGTACTTCAAGACTCATTCCATCATCACTTACCATTTCTCAGCCAAAGATAGCATTTGCGAGGTATATATATCTTTAACGTCTATTATTTATTTCGAATTTATATTCAAGAAACAAGTAGTGACACATAAACTTTGTTTGCGCTTAGCAATTAACTGACTAATTATATAGTAATAAAACTCTCTAGCCTAATAAAATTTGGTCTAATTTATTTGATTGGTGGAAGATTGGGTTTGAGACGGAAGGTAAAGAAGAGGAGAAACTGAAAGTAGAGAATGCGAATGTGGTGGGGATGATGCAGAAGTGGTACTTGTCTGGAAGTAGAGGAGTTTCACCGTCCACCATCGTCTCCCTTGCTGATTCGCTGTCCGCAGTTTTAACCTAAACTCTCTTATATAATAAGCATCTATGTGTGTTTTATGTTGTTGTATTATGTCTTTTGTTAAGTGAGACATCGTGTCTGGTTATCTTTATAAAATGATTAATGGTTCCTGGCTATTCTATTTTGTCTTTGTAGTTTAATATTGAAATCACAGAGCAACGATGGTTTTTACATACTTGAACAAAAACAAAACTTAATGCAGTGCAGCTGATCGATTAAATCATAATTAATTACATTAACTAAACAATGTGAAAACATTATTTGAAATATTTTACAATTTTATTCACATTTCTTTCATTAAAAATCGAACTGTATCCAAATTAAAGGCTGACCGAACCGAATCGAGCAGAACCTGTTTAAATTCAGTTATACATTCAACAATGAATGTAGCTGCTTTGGATAATCATTTTTTTTCTCTAAATCAATTTTATAAAGCAATCATTCTTTAGTTTTTTAAAATAACATTACTGCAAAAAAGGTAAAAAAGAAAATATACTAGTTTTCGAAAGTAAATTTTCTACAATTTTTATTTAAGTGATTTGAAAATAAATCAACAGCAAACAAATTAAACCCAAACCAAAAAACTCACAACCTATTTTCTAAAACAAAAAAGTAAAGTTATAACACCAACCAATCAACCCAAAAATCAAGAAAACCGAAAAAATAAAACAGATTACTGAAGTATATAACTGTTGATGAAACTTTCTTAATTTGTAAGTAAATACGTTCATTTACAAAAACAAAAATATATTACCATATCGACCTATTATTACGACTTGTGACGCTGTGTTACGCTGCGACTGTCACGTCCTCATCGTGAAGGAAACCATCAGCCAGAGTTTTATGTAGAATGAGTGGTTGTCTGCAAGTAGGGCAAGAAGAATGTGACCGCAACCACGTGTCAATACACTTCACGTGAAAGCCATGGTTACATTTCGGCAAAACTCTAACTTTTTCTCCGTCCACAAAATCTCCTAGGCAGATCAAACACTCTGTGGCTTTCGTCTTAAGCTCTGAGCTGTATGAATCAACAGGGATCCGCTTCAAATCGCGTTTCTTGATCCCTTTTGCTACGTTTGCGTTTGAGTTGGAGTCAGTTTCATCTTCGTTAGGCGTGGATCTGCTTGTGCAACGCAAGACACAACGCAAGACCGAATTGATGCCAAGGGCACAGATCAAAGCGCATAGAAGAGCCGCTAGGATGATCACCATGTTTGTATCCAAGGTAGCCATATTCTTGTTGTCGATGTTAGAGCCTCCAAAAAGTCTAGGGTTTGCATCAGTAGCTGGAATTGTCGGGGTTGCTTGTGTCTCAAGTAAAAACCTTCCCATCTTTCTTGCTCTTCTCTCTCTCTTTTTTTTTTTGACTCCTCTGGCTTGACCTTTGATTCCTACATGAAACTCAAAGACCAATAAATTTCATTCTTGATAAATCCATGGAGATATCAAAACTCAATCGTTTTTTCTGTTATGTTTCTTTGTGCATGACTTTGAGTTTTACACGAGAAAGGAAGTACAAGCTGTCTTATAAACTAAGAGGTGTACATAATTGAGCAAGTGTAAGAGAGAGGATGATAACTGAAAGGGTGGTCCAAGAAATCTATGGTTAGATTTTATGTATACTATACTTATATTTAAAAAGAAAGAAAACTGTGGCATATATTTTGTTGGATTTGTATGATTGGTAGTAGGGACAAATATAAAAGACATGGCCAAAAAGACAACTATTAATGCAGAATATATTGTTGAGTAGATATTACAAAATTGACGTATAACAAACACAAAATCAGTGGTCTTAAGAGCTTTGGAATCAAGACAGATGAAATGAATACCACTCTCATTTAGAAAGGAATAAGTGAGAGACGAGGAATTAATAAAAGAAGCATTCAAATTTGTCTTTTGGTGCTATGTTGGGGTATCAGATTCTCAACTAATCAGGTGATTTCATACATTCGATTTTATTTCGTATTTTACATGACTAAAATTTCTACTAAAATATATTCAATCAACAGATATTGAGTGTTAATTATTTGTAGTGATTAAGTACAGTTGCATTTTAGATGTGTAATTAATAAGATAACAAAAAAGATGAGACAACTATATACTTAGAGAAACAGAAAGATGAAATTGCGTTGATTTACAAACTAAGCCAGCATCTATTGTTTTCTATAATGGTTTATAGAAATGATTCAGTCTTTATAAATGTAACTGTAGACTTTTTGCCAGTTTTTGGTGGAAAGCAGTTTAGTTATCAAAAGATTGACAGTAAGAAATAAAGTGACTTTACTGATTTTATATCTTCGGGGTACATGGAAACATATAGGTTAAAGTTACCAAAAGTATGCAACGTATTAGTTGGATTTGAATCGGATGGTCCATATAAAGGGGAGAAAGAAAAATCTGGGTGGACTCTTTGGTCCACATATAATCAAAGTCCAATTAAACACATACTGATGTACAAATCAAATAGATGCACATGTTCACGCAAGAGACACAATTGCTTGTCTCTATTAGATCCATCTTTGAAATCAACGTCCAAAGATGAAATTTTAAATATGATTGTTAGATTTCAATATTTGAGGTGAGATGGAACTAGAATAATATGCAATAATTATGATATGCTATTATTTAGTCCAGCATGGTAATCTGATGATTGTAGTTAGTCCATTTTCAGATAACTCTCAGCGCTTATTTATCTATGAGAAGTTATTATATAGGCTTTGTGGGTTATAGCTCTAGGTTTAGTCAGATTGAAATAGTTAGGTTTAATAGTTAAAGCGTTAAAAGCTACAATCAACCCAAACTATAATAAAATCAAACCTGCAGAAATTGTGAATATGACTAAAATCTAGTTTTGTTAGGTTAGATGTCGATATGGTTCACTTACTTAATCAACCATATCAACAAAGTGCTGTAGTCTACTGTTTGACTGTTTTGAAAAGTTCATTTAGCTAAATATCAGTTTCACTTTTCAAGCAGCAGAATCACGAGTTTGTATTGTGCAGGCCTTGATGGGCCTATATGATGGCTCCACCGTAGCCCATTTCTGAGGCGGCAGATAAACTGATCATTGATTGAGAGAAAGTCTGTTACCGGAAACAACGGACGGTCCCATGTTCTCTATGTTCGGTTTCATACGCCGAGTACGTCTGCTTCTGATTATGACATCTCACATATCTTTTCTTCCTTACTATTTATTTAGTTATTATACCAAGTAACTTATGAAATATATTCACTAACAGAAAATGAGTATATACATTAACAAAGAAAGACTTGACAATCTATATGATTGATTCAAGTGTGCAACAAACTTCGTTTCTTTTATTTGTAATTATTCTAACGTAGAGCTTAAAAACAATTTTGTAAGACTGATACGATAATTCATGATTAGAATAAATCTAAACTCAACTGTAGATTGAAACGAAGGGGTCCATGTCGTAATAGCCGTTGGGATAGTTAAGCGCCAAACAGAATTGCATGTGAGATTTTCTCATCATACATAACTTTATAAACGGAATTTCTGGAAAATAAGACTCATGTTATTACGTAAGCTTCTTCGCTCATAAGAGAAGTGATACTATGCGCATTGATCATGAACTCCCTATATAAAGTAACGTCTTGAACGAACTAACAACATCAATCAACTTCCTTTTCCATTTCTTTCCTAAAAATCTTTGGCCCCAGAAAAATAATGAATCTTACAGAATATGCTCATGTTTTAGTTATTTCACTATGCACTCTCAACTTCTGCTTCTACCGGATAAAGTCCTACGACAACGGGGGCTGGGAAAGAGGTCACGCCACTTTCTACGGTGGAGCTGATGCATCCGGCACAATGGGTACTTTAAACACAATCTTTTTGACCAAAAATACACAAATGGATACTTTCAACATTATTAACCTAATTAAGTGTTGACGTTTTCTAGGAGGTGCGTGTGGTTACGGTAACTTGTACAGCCAAGGCTACGGACTACAAACCGCGGCGCTGAGCACGGCTTTGTTCAGAAGTGGTCAGAGATGTGGGGCCTGCTTTGAGCTACGTTGTGTAGACGATCCTCAGTGGTGCCTCGGTGGTTCCATTATCGTCTCGGCTACAAACTTCTGTCCACCAAACTTTGCCTTAGCCAACAATAATGGTGGTTGGTGCAATCCTCCCCTTCAGCACTTTGACTTGGCCCAGCCTGCCTTTCTCCAGATAGCTCAGTACCGAGCTGGGATTGTCCCCGTTGCATTCAGAAGGTAAAAAAATAACCTAACGTAGTGCAAAAGTACATTTTTCTATAAGAGAGACATTAATCTTTTGAGCAATTCTCTCAAATAACACTAAATTGTGTTTTATGTTAAAATTAGTACATAAAGAGAAAATTTCACAAAATATCATTTTAAATAGAAAAAACATATATATATATATATATATATATATATATACTTTATTAAGTTTAGTGATTAGGATTTATAGTTTATCATTGGATATTTTCGGAATAAATTTTAAAAAGTTCTACTTAGGAGATTTTCCCTACTATTTTCTGTCATGTACTGAAAGCTAGTAATTAACAGGGTTCCATGTGAGAAGCCTGGAGGGATAAGGTTTACGATCAACGGGAACTCGTACTTCGATCTTGTGCTGATTACAAACGTGGGTGGTGCTGGAGATGTTATGGCCGTAGCTTTGAAAGGCTCAAAGACTAATAAGTGGCAATCCATGTCGAGAAACTGGGGACAGAACTGGCAAAGCAACTCATACCTCAGAGGTCAAAGCCTCTCTTTTCAAGTCACCACGAGCGATGGTCGGAGTGTTGTGAGCTACGATGTTGTGCCTAAGGATTGGCAGTTTGGTCAAACTTTTGAAGGAGGACAATTCTAGATTTTGTATCAGGAGAATATTAATAGATATACACAACAAGAGTCATTTGATTGTGTTTAAGACAAGGACTGTATGCTTTACTCAAGAGGTTATGCATGGATCATATATCTAGTAGCTCTTTTATTGTCATAAGAAAGGCATTGAAGAAATTAATGTAGTTGGATAAAATCAATTTAATTATATACTCATGTAGTAAACAACAAGAAAATACTACACAATGGTACAATAAAATTAAGGAAAAATGCCTCTCATGATATAGCAGGTGTCATTTTTCATAATACGTAACATTTTGAAAAATTTAAAATAAGTTGTATTGATGTACAAATCCCTAAAATTAAAAGGCTTAAAGGCCAACATGTAATATATAAATGATACGTACTAGAGTAGACTCTAGAGTATGGTATTTACAGTTCTAGTAAAAAAGTTATAATTTATTTTAAAATAAAGAATATCTAAAGGAAAAAAATATTTCACATGACCTATAGACTCTATAATAAGTCATGATCAGGAATCCTGTTAAGTCTTGACGTCGTTAATTCTCTTGCTGGGTCCAGACGCCGGAACTGACCCTTTTGGAAGAACGTTTAACACCAACGACCCGTATATTCCGGCTACATAGACTCCTGGAGAAGACGAATATCTCCCCGTGAAGTGACCATCTTCGCTTTTGCACCCCACCACCCTGGCCAGCTTCCCGTTGACCGTCTTGGAGACATCAGATACCTTTCCGGAGATGATGTCGCCATCTGTTACCGGTAACAATTCTCCTGGAACTTTTCTAGCCGTTGAGAATGTAACAAGATGAGAGACGGAGATGAAGACAATAAGAATCAAAGCTCCATATCTATCCATAATTTTTTTTGCGGTCTCTCTGTTAAGGAGTGAACACTCTGTTTGATTTTTATTCTACTTAGTGGATGTGTTATTTGGTGAAGATCAGTGAAAGTGCATGTGACTATATATATACAAAGTCATAGAGGGTCTACTATAGTCAGTCAATGGCATTTGACGAAATAACGCGGCAACTGTCGTACTCAAGAGTGAAAAGAACATGTCAGATTAGATAAGAAAAAAAAGTTAAAGAATAGGTCATGTTTTGACCCCAAAGGGAAGAATAAGTCAGCTAGTTTCCGGTCCAACATCAATTATACGTTAAGTCGTTAAAAATGATTTACGTACAAATGCAACTGGGTATAAGAATGGGCCTTTACTAGGCTATATTGGAGAAAAAGTAAGCCTTTTTTTTCAAGAGACCACCCAAAAAAAGAATTCTTTTTCTTTTCAGCACAATTTACAGTGCCCAATGAATAGACTTTCCTCGTCAATATGGTTTTCGGGCCAAGATTATATGGGCCAAAAGTCAAACTTCTTTTCGTTTAAAATATAGTTAGACTGAATTAAAAAAATAATAATAATAATTAGACTGATTTATGATGGGCTGAGCCGGCCCGTGCAATAGTGCAACGCATGGGCGACTCGCGAAAGCCCAGATAGCAAGCTCTCTTAATGGGCTTTCTCCCTCAAAAAATAGAGTTAATATCGTGTGGCCCGATGGACCACATATCAGATATTAAACTGATAAGAACAGATACTACACTTGATCTTAGCCAAAAGGCCGAGAAAGGTATGAATTGTTTGCTCTCCCAGGCTCTTGTTTTATACTCCTTCTCATGCCTTCACCACTTGTTTCGTTACCGATGTGGGACTCTGAACAATAAGAAAAACTAAAACACTCTCTCCGTCATGACTCATAGCGGATAATTCTCGAATTAAAGCCCAACAAGTCTTAGCTGGGCCTTATTCATGACCAAACCGAGGTTTGGTCGTATTGTCTCCTTGTCTGATGTAGCATTTCATCGGTCTTCGGGTAACGTTGACGTTTAACAGCGAGAGGTTCTGATCTCTCTCTCTGGGAAATGGCAGGCAGATTCCGACTAGATGCGGTTGTGTCGGCGATAGTGATAGTTCACCCGCACGAGATTCCGGCGTTGCTCCACTCCTCTTCCTGTTTCTTCTTCGTAACCGATCTCCTTCTCTTTGTCTGTCCATGTTTATTTATTACAACCATCGATTTCAAGTGTCCCTAAACTATGCCTTGTATTTTGAATCTACGAGGAGTAATTTTAGATATTGAGCGCATATTTCGTTGTTCTTCCACTACGCGATGAAGGAGCAATATCGCTTGGTTTATCAAAGCTCCCAATTCTGTTCGTTGGATCTCTGTTTCTCACTCTGATCGCTGCGCCTGTTTCCACCTTGATCTTCTCTTTACCCAATTTGTCCAAATCCAAGGTACTACTCTTTTGCTAAAATGCTAATCCTTTTCATACAATGTTTTTATCTTCTTGCATTCCTCTGTTTCCCCTGTTTTATTTTAAGGGGGAAATGCTAAGTACTCTGTTTTAATCAAATCAGCTTAATGCCAACTTTAAACTGTTGACTATAGATTCTTTGATGAAGCATTTTGTCTTACACATGTTTCTCGAAATTTCCAGGCTTTGGTTATTATACATAGATTCTTTAGTCTCTCGCTTGTTCTCTGTTTCCTTCTCTGGCGTGCCTCCCCAACCGAGTCTATAGCTATACCATCTAATTCTAAGGTAAAGACAGGAGAGCTGTATTGTATCATAGAGAAGTTTTCTTTAATTAGTCATGAGTCTGAGTCATGGTTTAACATATTCTGCTGCTTTGATAGGATGCGTCCGACCTAACAAAAGACCCCAAAGTTGGTATTGATGGAGCTAATCCTGCTTCTGGATGGGATAGTCATGGCTGGTTTTACATTTCTGTTCGTGTTGGATTTTTCCTTTGGGTACGTACTACTAACTCTTTGTTTTTTTTCCGGTTTTAGACACAAGTCGTCGTAAGTCGTAATGTAGCTTGATGTATAATACTTTTGCTATTTCTTAGGTTGCGTTGCTTAACCTCGTAGCTATTTCTTCAACCTGGGCTAGAATAATTGACGTTATGGATAGTGAGGTAGTTACTTTCACCTGCACCCTTTACTTTATTTCCAACATCTGGCTATTGTTTCCAAGCATAACAGCATTTGACCTTTCAGTCAGGTGCAAGGCTGTTTGGTTTTGTTGGTGCTGGTGCTACCCTTGGACAGCTTTTTGGATCTGTGTTTGCTGCTGCAACTGCTTGGATGGGTCCATGTAGGCATCACGTTCTGTGATGATGATTTGATTTACAGTCCCAAGTATCTAGCGAGATATATTTTCTTCTGCTTTTGTTGTTTCATGAATGCCATTCTGTTTTCACTAAAAGATGTATTTACCGTCCATTTTAGATCTACTTCTATTTGCTGCTCTTTTGATGGAATTTGCTGCACAGTCTTCAAAAGGGATCACCAAGGATACTTCACAGTCCTCTGAGGAGTTGTCTCCTCTAAGGTTAGCTAATCCACAACATCCATCTTCAATGCAATGTAAAGAACAGACTGCTAAGTCTACATCAATGCAAGAAGTTTTTGGATTTCAAACCCACTTTTCACTATGTTTCCTAGTCTTATACATTCTCAATTTTAGGTTCTAGGATGGTCTTAGATTTCTCGTATGAATTTGACTCAAATGTGATCATGGTTGGTCGAGGAGTTGATCTTTGTTTCTTCTTGTGTTAGGAGAACTGATAATGATTATCAAAGTGAGAGAAGTCAGGAAGCTTCTTCTCCAAAAATTGGTTCTCCAAAAGTTGCTACTCCTAAATCGCCTATCTCCACAACCAGGCCTCAACTTTGGGCCATCTTAGACGGAATGAGACTTATACTAGCATCACCGTATCTTTTGCTCGTGTCTTTGTTCCTTTGGCTCGGTGCAGTCATCTCCTCATTCTTCTATTTTCAAGTAAGACAAAGATTTTTAACTAGTATAGGCCTACCTTCTTATGTGCTCATTAATGAAACAAAGGTCACTGCAGAAAGTGAATGTAATTGCCACAACAATCAAATCATCTATTGGTCGAAGAACACTGTTTGCACAGATAAATAGCTTTGTTGCAGTTTTCATACTTATTGGACAACTGACTCTAACGGTATGTCATTTTCCAGAGAAAATTATCTCAATGATTCCCCATACCTGTTGTTTTTCTTACCTATATGTATATATCAACTTATCTACTAAATCTTACAGGGGCGGATCTTGACTATAGCTGGTGTCACAGTTGCAATATCTGCATCGCCACTTGTGGCACTTGGGAATCTGGTTGCTATTGCGATATGGCCAACTTGGGTTGCAGTTGCTGTGTCTGAAACCCTGAGAAAGGTTTGTGGTTTATATCCTTCTCTTTTGTGTTGCAGTTGCGCTACCGTTCGACTAAATACAGTTTAACTACTTGGTAGGTGACAACTTATGTTGTAACTAGACCTGGAAGGGAACTTTTGTTCACTGTTGTCTCGCAAGACGAGAAATACAAAGCTAAGGTACTAACCAGCTCTGCTAATGGGAAAGGCTACACTTTGTTCTATCTCTCATTCTTCGCGCTATGGTATCAGGTATGCATAGATGTGATTGTTCAACGGCTTGGAGATGCAGCAGCGGCAGGACTATTCGAAGTACTTACCATTGCTCTTGGTGGTCAAACAGCAACTGCATCACTCTATGCCTTGCCAGTATAATAAAGCTTACTAGTTACTACATTTAAACAATTCTCCAAGTGCAGTATTTGACAAGTCTCCTTTTGTTTTTTAACAGGTTTGTTTGATATGGATAGTCACGGCCTTCTTTTTAGGCCGGCGCCAAGAACAACTAGCGAAACTCCAGGTGGGTTCATCTTTATAGGAAAAAAAATGTTATGAAGAGTAACATTGTTGAATAGGAATCATGCGGAAGATGAGAGGGTTCAACTTCATATGTAGGAGTTATGGGAAAGAAACGCAAACCTGTCAGAGATGAAGAAGGATCACAAGGCGGAGTAATGGTTTAAGCTAAGAACTGAAATTTTGGATACTGCTTTTCATAGGTAAAATATTGTACATAGTGAAGTATAAATGTAAGCCAAACTTGACTCTTTGTGGAGGATATAGAGCATTTTTGTTTCCAACTTTTCAAGTGGTTCGTTTATGTATATGCACATACTAGGTTAAGATATTATATTCAGATAATACATCAATGTTCTTAAACCTGATTATTTGCCAAGTCTAAAAGGGTTAAAGAGGGCTAACCAAAAAAAAACGAGAAACACCTCTAATGGAACATGGGATTTTAACAAGACCATCTCTTTGCCTATACTTACATATTAAAAAATGAAACTCTAGAATCTGTACACAACAATCATAATCTTCTCTCCTCTAAAACCGGTGTTTCAGTACTTTGGTAGAGTATCATCTTCCCTGTTTCAAAATGAAAGTAAAAGTGAGAACAAGAAGCAAGAACATGGGACTTCTTGATGTTGGATGGTTCAGAGATTGTGTAAACATACCAAAGAAACTCATGTTCGAAATGATCAGATGAATCATGTTCCTCCTCTTCATGATCGTATCGATCATACAACTGTGTATTACTCGTAAGATTTTAGTGGAACATAGTGAGAGTATTTATTTATACAAAAAGCTGGAAACAGTGATGAAAGCATTACACTGACCTTGTCAACATCTTTTGAATCCGCCTCATCATCATCTGCCTGAAATTAGTTATCACAGGCAATGTGTCAACCTCAGCAGCAAGCTTTAAACTCTGCAAAAGTGTTATGATAATATAACCTTATATATACGTTTAGATTCTTCATTTAATTTCCTGTTGTGTGCCAAATCAACTTCTGCAGCACACTCTAGGTACAGGCTTCGATCCTGAAAAAAATAAGCAACAAGGACTCAAAAAACCAAGCATATATAAATAAAGTTTTTGCAGAGTGAATACACTGATTGATGATACCTCTCCAGACATTTTCTTCCACACCATCAAACATATTCTGCTACCTTCCACCATGTTCCAACCGTAGATTTTCCTAATATCCTCTCTATAAAAAGAAAAAGAAACAAAAAACTACTCAAACTCACTTTTTTTAACTCTCACAAAAGTTGCATCTAACACACAAACCAATAATCAAAACCAACAAATAGGCACAACATTTAATCTCTTCACTTCCCTTCGTTTCTCTCCACAGTTATGCATATCAAACAGAGCAATCGCGATCATAACACCACATTCTTCACTGGAATCAAATCCCGAAACAGAGTATCACGAATCAAAGATTGAACCGTGTGAAAACTCAAAATCCACACGAAAAAAGGAGTTAAAGAGAGAGCGTTACCATTTCTGAAAAGCGCTTCCATCAGCAGTGCGACGAATCGCCATTTATGCTCTTCGGTTTTTTTCTATTTCTGACAGAGATAAAAGGTTTTTAAAGCTTTTTTAAGTTTAAACGTTCGAGTATGTGCGCAATTTAGCGCATTGTTATATTAATACTAACGTGCACTTAACAGATTCAGCGCGGGGAATTAATTGGCGCGTAATTAAAAAAACAGACGATATAATACTCCCGCTTCCGAGATTAATTATTTGTGATAAGCAATGATATTTAGCCATGTCCCTCGTTAATTACGCTAATAAAAATCAAATAGCATTTTGCTTATTTCGTCTCAAAAATTTTGTCATTTCATTTTTTTTATTTGTTAAAAAATGTCATTTTAATGCAAAATTTTAAATAAAAACTTGATTTTAACGTGACTGTTTCATTGTATTAATTAGATTTAAAATATTTAATGTATGTACAGAATTTTTAAATGTTTTTAAATATATTTTTAATATCAGTTAAAAACTATCAAATGACAATTTTTTCTCAAAAAAAAAACTATCAAATGACATTTTTGTGAAATAGAGAGAATAATAAATATCGCAATAAGCTAATTTCATTAGACTTTAACGCGAAGATAATACACACTTCAACATAAATTTAAAACAAACAAGGAAATAAAAAAAACACACATTAAAACAAATCTTCAAATTTTTAGTGGAAGATTATGAAAGTATTATTCGCTTGAATTAATTAAAGATGAAAAATGCAAAAACAAACAACAAGACGACACGTGGATGGATCAATTAGTTGGTCCTCCCGCAAACCTTCCGGATCTCACCGCTACTACCCGTCAAGGGGCTGATATCACCCATCTTAATCATCGCCGCCGTGAAGTCGGAGCTGAAGCTCGACGGGTTGTTGCTGTATCCAGTGACTATGGAGTCCGTGGAGCCGCCGTTGAAGAGCTCTTGGTCGGAATGTAGTAGACCTCTCTGTGCCACAAGGTTCTTGAAGTAGCTGTTGTCGAAAGAATTAGCCGAGTTGACGTCAAGTGGAGCTAGGTTTCCGTCCCCTGACCCGGTAGCTCTCGGACAAGATCTTTGTCGTAAGGTGGCGAAGGCAGCGTTGATGTTTGTCTCGTTGTAGACTCTTGTTCGAAAGTTCGTGCAACGGGATTGCCCTATCGTGTGTGCACCTTAAAAAAAAAGATTTAAAATAGTTTAAAAATAGTTTGCTATTTCTTTTTATTAATTTAACTAACGTTGAATTACTTTGTCGGTGTTTCGTAACAGTAATGTATTATATGAGTTGCGTAACTTGGCAAAGAAACAAAAAAAAGTTTGTGGTGTGCAAGGAAAATGTGTTGAAAAACGAACACAAGGAAACAAGAAAGAGACGACAATATTCAAAGACACAATCAAATAATTATATTTTGTGTCGAATCTGTTGACTCTTACTCCTTTTTGAAGAAAAAAAATATTTGCATGTAATTTTACCCACAAAAATAAATAAATTTGCATGTATGGTAAAACGTTTAAAAATTAATAATGTTCGGGACTTTACCAAAACTATATTTTTTATAAATTTATAAAGATTATAAGTTTATCAATATATTAATTGAATCAAAAAAATCAATTTAAGACTATAAAAGTATATAATTTTGTAGAGATATTTAGTTTATATTAATTTACTTATACTGTATAATGAATAAAAAGGTAAGAGAAATGAAACTAACCGGAGAGAGCAACCATGTCTCTGGTGGAGAGTCCAACGGCGCTGAAACTACTAATAAGTTGGCTCAAGCTCGAAGTAGGAGCTGGAATGTTATTATTCGCAGCGGCTTGACTCGCGGTTCTTGCATCTCTTCTTCCTACCTTCACATTCCAATTCGGCCCTCCAAGCTTCAACAAGAACATGACAGCGTTAGTCTATTAAATTTGTAAAAACGGACTAAGAGAGGATATGTATATATGGAGCTTACGAGTACGACGGAGTCTCTAGCTGCGATGGCTAAGATATCAGCACAAGAAACAACCCCGGGACATGCTGCTTCAACAGCTGTTTTAATGTTGTCTATCACATTAAACCCACGCGCAGAATTGCGGTTTGGGTTCGCGTTTTGTTCTCCCGTAAAGCTTGATGTGTCATCTAGTAGAATAGAACCGTCACATCCCTATAGATATGTAAGTAGTGATCATGAGACTTTTCTTGGGATGCAAGGACTATACAATAAGGTAAGCAAAAAGACTTACGTTGACGAAGCAATCGTGGAAGAAGAGACGGAGGATAGATGCACCCGTTCGAGGCTGGCTGTCAACGGCGGATTTAACGGATGATCGGACGGTTGAGAGAAGATTAGGGCAAGAGGTTGAGTAAAAATTTGTCGTGAGTTGTGCTTCGACGACGTTATAGTTACCACCTTGCAATGAAAGTGTAACAACGATAGCTGAAATGGCAATAATAAGGTTATTTGAAGCCATGTTGAGGAAACAAAGACTTTGATATAGACTTGGAGTTGATTATTGTACTTGAATAACCAAGCATAACGGAATCGAGGTTTATATAGAGACGTGAATGATGTTCTTAAGTGCTAGATAGGTAACCTAACGCGTTGAAAAATGTGTGTGGATCGATGGTTTCAATTATTTGTTTTGTTGTTACGATTTAGTATTCAGTTCTGCATGGACTTTATTTTGTAATTATCTACGTCGGAGATAGAAGGCTAAAGTAAAGTTTGTCAACGATAATATTTTTGCCCCGGTAATTAGTATATCTAGCAAATTATGTTGACTTTGAAAAAAATGTCGAGAAGGTAATCAAGAGATTAAATCAATGGGTTGAATAATATAGTGTTTATGCTTGGTCGTGATAGGCGTGACACCATTCAAGAAAGATTTTTGTGTGACTTAGTTCTAAATCGTCTAACTTATATCGTTGAGATTGTGTATAATAACTGATGGGTGATGTATGTAGTGTTTCAGTTGCTATCTTTTGATTGCTTGAATATTTTTTTTTTCAGTTTTAAAAAAATGTGGTGTTTCAGTTGCTATCTTTTGATTGCTTGAAATTTTTTTTACTGTGTTTATAGATTTCATGTCAAACATGTCTACCATCTTATTGTTTTGATACTGGTATATTAATAAATTTTCCTTTACTAACAGTCTAGCATACGTAAGTAAACTATTTTCAAACGCGTCTTCTTTGAAATAGAGGTCACAAAAAAAACATATTTGTGGTAATCTTTTGTTTTTCTTAAAAATATCGAAATGTATAGAAATGATCTAAGAGCAGCATCAACGCAAAACCCACATGAGGAGTGTTTATTTCTTTTTTTATTTTTTGTTTTTGTCTTAAAAAAAAATTAAAAATCCATCAATTGTGGATCGCCACATGGCATAAGACCCACGAAACATGTTAAACTTCGCTGCTTATTTCAGCGTTTTTGGCAACACTATTTCTTCTTTCTTCCTCTTTTTATGGTTTTTCCCCTCTTAAGCATCTCTCTAAAACCCTCCATTGATACTGCTCTAAAATTTCTTTAGTTACACATCTTAAAAATATTATAGAGATTTGGAATATACATATGTAGTTGATTCTAAAATTGGTAATGGATAAAAGAAATATATATAAGTTAACATAACTGATTGCCTAGGTATATATACCATTAAAATGTTGTTAGATCTGAATATATTTCCAAGTGGTATAATTGGGGAGATGATCTCCGCTCGTGGATCTACAACAATACCTACCAGAGGATGCCTTCAAACGTATGAAGAACATGGACCTTCATGAAAAATAATACGATTGACCTAGTGTAATTTCAAATTATATACCATGCAGCTAAAGACCAAACACATGGAGAAAAAAACCGTGAAAGTCACCTTAGCTTAGCTAATACAAGAGTTTGGTTGATTTTGATGTGATAACGAATTTAGGTTAGAAGTCATAATAATAATTAAGCATATATCAAAGTCTCTTATACAGTAATATATTATGAATTAGACATGCATATCTTTTCAGTATACCAATTAAAAATGTAGAGAAGAGTTTGTTAGATAGAGTTGTCAAGAATAGCGGCCTGTTTTTAAAAGAAAAATTAATACTTGCGGAAAAGAGATACATCACTAGGTTTGTTAATTTTCTTTCTTCAACTCCAAGCAAACCTCTTTCTCTTTTTTTTTTGGTTTTTGCAGAAACAAAACATTTAATGTTTACATCAAGCTTACACTGTTTCTAGTTTTTAAATATTCTAGATTATCGCATGAACCTTGTGTTATCCATACATAAGCCAAAGGGAGTTTCTGATTTCAGGGATTTGAAGGTATATAATAAATAATGTAATGTATACTAATCTAGTGTGAAGATCTTTACCATAACTCGAATTATATTTTAAAATATTCAGATTAAAAACTAACTATAAAACAATCATTAAGAGTCATATACTTTTACACTACGCGCCATTTACTTTTACAAAGGAAGGAGGCAGGCACGCTTGTCACTTTTCAGTTACTATATGCGTTTAAGAAGGTTTGAAACAAATAACTAAAAAACAAAGCACCTCTTAAGCTAGATACCTTCTCCGGTCTCATTTTCACACTCACCTAAAATATCTTGTATAAGAAACGTTAATCATAACCCTCTTTAATAATCAAGAAAAGCCTTCTAGATATTTGATTTGATATATACCTTTGATCCTCGTGTTTTGTATTTTATAGATGTTTTCTATAAAATGTTGGGTTTTATGATATTAATTAGATACTCTTAAGCATTGTTTTCATTTAATTAGCTTAATCGCAATATAAATTGTATTTTGTTATTATTTGATCATTTGAAAAAAAAAATACGATAACAAAACCACAAGGATTACAATCACGTTCTTAGGTTAAAGTTTGCCACATATGACTCAAACTCATTATATATTTTTGTCAACTAGCATTTTACAAAATACTTAAGAATTAAGGCTGTGCCTCCATTGGTTAGGCTTCGAGATGAAAATATATGAATCTTCTTGTCAGGGTCAAGAGTGTACAAAGTTGTTAGGGTGAGTAATTGCTACAAAGAAACTTTAAACACTCTGCAGCATGTATTGATCATTTGACTAATCAATTACATAGAAAATGTCAATAAATAACTAACGGAGGTTGATTTAGTCGCATGCACCCTGAATACATGATATATATTGACATATATAGAATAATATCAAAATGCTTTAAATTTTGAGTGTAAAAACTTTTTTGGTGAAAGGGTGTAAAAACTTATTTCTTAGAGTAGTAACCGTTGAAGCTATAATACTTGCTAACATCCGACCAAAAAAAAAATAATACTTGCTAACAAAATGACAAGAATATTATGTATCTAACCACGTATTTTAATCTTGACACGAAAGTGAATGATACAGTGGATTTGAAAACATGGTCCATAACGTAAGGTTGAACATTGTCATTATGGAAAATTATAAGGGAACAAATGACTCAAGATGCATGAAACATATACATGCATGATACATCTAATTATACCATCTACTGATGGATCATTGTATTTCATCTAGGACACACTATGTTGTTGTCCTTTTGAACTTGAAATTTTCAGTGTTAAGAAAAAAAGGAGAAGCAAAGTTACAGGCTTGAATCTCTTATGGAAAGATCTTTTTTTTTTTGACTGAATAGTAAATTTTCTTATGGAAAGATCTTACGGAAGCTTTTTTTTTTTTTTTTTGATAAAACTTACGGAAGCTTTTACACATATATATAATCAATCTTAGAGAAAGGCGCTTGAAACATATATATGCGCTAAAACTTATTTACAAAATCAAGTTTCATTGTTTAACGTAAAGTGTATATTATTCTCTTACTTGCAATCCAATTTGGCATTTACATATACAATTTTCTAACATTTATAAATTCAAGTATGTAAACAAATACATATATTTATATTTATCGACACACAAATTTTCAGTCACAATTTAATCATAACAGTATACTAAGATAACAATTTATAAATTAAAAAAAATACTATCACAAGCACTCATTTTTAATTGAAACAAAGAAAAGATAACACTTTCGAAAGATGTTTGGCTTCAATGGCTTCTATGTGTATGCTACCCTCAAAGTCTCAAGATTCCTAAGCCGAAAGTACACGCCTAACTGCACAAGCTTTCCATTTTTTAACATTTTTTCAAACCCGACCAAGTCAACCGTATATGTTGTCTTCCATTATCTTTTGTCCGGATAGTAAAAGTAACTAAACCATGTAACCCCACTGAGATTATATATGTTTAATATTGTAGTTTTGGATATGAATATTTGACTGTGTAACCAAGATGCTGCAGATTCTTCTATACGTTGCATCAACACTTCGGTGAGGTGATGGTAAACGCTTTGGGTTTGGTGGGTACTGGATAGAGGAAAAATATGCAACTTCTCCCAAAATATTTTCTTTTGGCTTAATACATAATATTGATTGTTTCTTCTTTTTTCTTTCCGTATATTGGTTGCTTACTCTTGCAATTATCTATTAATAGCAATCACATATGAGCCAATAAATGATTGTAGGACTTTAGAACATCTTTAATCCATGAAACATATTTGGAAATGCTTATTTTCAATTGCCAAAACACGCACCCGATTTTCGTGATACTTGCACTGTTACACGGGCTCCACGACACGTGACGGCCCGCGATTGATTCTATTTTAGTTTTTTATTTTAGTCAGAAAAAAAAAAAATTTTAAGCCTTTTCTTCTTCTATGCGATAATCCTGTTCTTAGTTTAAAACGGAAGGAAGAAGTTACTCCTAGTGAACTACTCAATAAATTGAACCCTGGAATCATATAAACCATATAATAAAGAAAAAGTAAGTACTCTCCATCACTGAAAAGATTGTAAACTTTGAAAGACATTCTAGAAACTTCAATTGACTCAGCACGGAATAATTTTTTTTTTCCTTATATTCAAGTATGGCTAATTTGACTGGGTAAATATCTAGCTGAATTGATTCTGATTGTATCTTTTGAACGGTCCTAATGGTTGGGCTTTTAATTTGTTGGGCCAAGGAAACATTGACCCACTTTGTTTCCTTTATTGGACACGATCTATAGACTGTATTCTTGTTTCCTTTACAGTTTACACAGAAAATATGAAATTAATTAAAAATACAATTTTTTAATAATAACTCAAAATTCTTCTACTTATAAAGGAACTGATTTTAATTATAAACATAATTATTTCCATTTCTGAAAATAGAAAAATGACCAACTTCTATTGAATTTGAATGAATGAGTTAGTAAATATACAAATAAACTAAAATTTAGTAGATGTTAAAGAATAAAGAAGAAGGTTGTAACTCTCATTGTATTATTAATCACGTGGTTACACATATATATATACATACAAGAGAATAAAGCATATTCCTTAGGAGATAAGGATTACAACAATAAAGGGGATGATTATCCTAATCCTATAATGATTAGGATAACTACAACATATGGATAAACACAAGGGAGGATAGTGACTG